AAATGCATGAGCTTGTGTGTTTAGCTGCTTAAATGAGAAATCACTTCATTAGAAGAGAAACTCAGCTATTTGGTGTGATAATTAACTGTCTGATGCGCATTGCAAATTTGTAAAATTCTAATGACAGATAAATTAGGAATATCTAAGGATTAGCCTTTATAAAAATGATAAATGTTCAAAATGTATTCACAAGATTTGTTTGAGCCGATGGGTACCTGTATAGTATATTTAAAAGTGCTTTATTATTTTTTTTATTTGAGCATGGAAAAAGCATTTGTGGCAGCAAGTTAATGAACCAAACTCATGACACTCCTTAAATATCAGATACTTGAATTTGACTGAACTTTTTCTCAAAGAACTTCAGTGTTCAGGGTGTCAAAGTCACTTCAACCATACATATAGCAGAAATCATTTGATACTGCTTTTGTACTTAACGAGAAGAAAGCCACTATGCTTCTTAAGCTCTAAATACCATCATCTTTTTTTATTGTATGTAGCATTATCTTTTATTAAGAAGTAAATTTAATCAATGGCAATTTTTTTTTTTTAAATAGCTCTGCGTCATGCATTATCTAATGGCAAATTCTATCTCCAATGTCAGACAAGATTTCCTCTGAGTCTAGAAAGCTGTTCAATACACAAAAGAAGGCAGTAGCAATGTAGGTGTCAGTTCTTTATGGGTTTCCACCCAGAGTTTATTAGCTCACCCAGTCAAAAGTACATCCAGCTTTAAGGAGCTCTCAAAAATCACTAGGTTACTACATATGTGTACATTTGTTGTTTTAGTACAGACTTGTTTGCTGTCTGTATATATTTTCCTCTGTAATTAAAGAGGCCGGGAGTTTAGCTAGGACTTTAACTTTCATTTTATTGTACTTTCTGGGAATTTGGTTGGCTATAATTAATTAATAAAAGTTTTCATAAAGACATAGAATGAAGAGTTTATCTGTTAGAAAATGCTAAAGGATCACTTTGTATCTAAAGGCAGTGAATTTTGATTTGAGTCTTATGTCTGCATTTGTCTGTTTATGTCATTGTCCCCAGGTTCACCTTTTCAAATCTGTCGAACAAAATGAGATTGAGATTTTGTTAGTTCAACATCAGGTCAAGGCCACTTGCAGGTCAAAGGTCAAATAGCCATTATAATCCTAAAGAAATTTTAATTGCTGCAAGCAGTGTTTTACCCATATACATTCATTGTTCTAAATGTTTGAATTCTGTGAAAGGTGTTTATAGTGCAAATAAGAAGAATTCATTTGTCAATGATTGAAGTTTGAATTATTTTGTACTTGATAAATTCCATGAGAAAGTTTGAAAGATTACTGTATTTTCATTCAGTCAGTACAAATGGTATAATATACCCATGATACCTATGTGTATAGCTGACAGATTTGTGTATACCTGCAACACATGCTTTTTGAATTTGCTGGATAAGAAATATTTAAAGTGTCAGGGTATCTGTGACCAAGCTCTTGCTAATTGAAGTTTTCTGTTGATAAAGTTCTTACACGAGATTGACAGACAGGTGGTTAATATTTGAAAATCCCTTAGAAACATTACATTGTTCGGAACAGTGTCGTGCCCGCCAAGAGTTGATTGTCACCTCACGTACAAAGACGCAATAATGATATTCCTCATTTACTTTTAAATGAGGTGCGATATATTTCAAGCATTTTTAATTATTTCCCTATTGACGTGATGTGGTCTTTAGATGGATTCATCTTTCATTCATTGATTACGAGACATACTGCGAGTTTTCAATGCATGTATTGGTGTTCGCCTGTAATAGCTCGGATTTGTTGATTAAGTCATGTGGACTTGATCAATATGTATTAGATGTACTATTATTAGCTGCTCGAGTAGACCTTCATAATGAGTCTTCTCACATTAAGTTCAATTTTTTGGCAGGATGTGAAAAGAAGGTTTTTCTTCCATTGAAACAGAATTGACACTCTATCACCTAAAACTCTTTTCACAAACCAGAATTATAGAGTTTTCATGTATTAGAATTGACATTCTACCATATAGAAAGTTTAATACTGAGGTTCGTTCATGATCCGAAATTAAAGTTGTTGATCAGAATTCTTTGAAGTTGATCTTTTAGGGAAACTAATTTGTCAGGAATGTATAAAGATATACATTTAGCATATTTATGACAAACTAAAGCACGTTTAAACTTCAAAGAGATGATAGGTTTAAAACACAAATTTAAAATTGTGTGTAATTTAGGAACCTCTATACATATACCTGCACAACTAAATTCTGTGGTATTTTTATGTAGTTTAGAGTCACCCAGATCTGTCTGAAGATCTAACATTAAAATGAATTGAAATCTATATTGTAATACTCAGTTTGTAATTTATGGAAGCAATTTTCTTCTAATTAAAATGTTTTAGTAGGCCAAGATGAATTAATTGAATACTTCATATTTAGTACATGTATTTTCCCCATTTGATTTATGTACATCATTGCTTTGGTGTCTTTGAACATATTTCCTATGTTGAAAATGAAATAGATCAACTTAATGTTTAAGCTTTTACGTGATGTAATTTTCTCAGTTTTTATTTGTGTAATAAAGAAGGTCCTTAAATTCTGTAATAATATTTACCAATCATGTCCTAGGAGTTTATCCTCTTGCCATATCAGGGTAGCTGAGTTTCTCCTCAGTTAGGTTATAACTCTGCTTCTTTATACATATAATATAGATCATATAGACAAGCATTCCTTGCCCCCAACCTACATGACCTAGCTTCACTTATTAGGTGCTAGTGGACATATAATATAGATCATATAGGCAAGCATTCCTTGCCCTCAACCTTCACTTATTAGGTACTAGTGGACATATAATATAGATCATATAGGCAGGCATGCCTTGTCCTTAGCCTTCATGTTTGGGGTTATAGTGGACATGGCACAAATAGTGCCTTTATCTTCATGTTTAGGGTGATAGTGGACGTAGCACATACAGGGCATTAGGCAAGCATTCCTTGCCCTTAGTCTTCATGTTTATGTTACTAGTGGACTAATTAACTTATAAAGGCATGTTTTGTGTATACCAATTGTAATGGCAGCTTTATTTCTTTTTAATTTGGCCTTGTAAATGACCCCCCCCCCCCCCCCCCAATTCCTACCCCTTACGAGTATGGAAAGAAACAAAAAAAATTTATCTATTGTTCTCCCATAGAGATGATGTTCTGAAATTAAAGGGGGTGTTTATAAATGAGCTGGTACGTGTATGAATTAAATAGTCAAATTTAATTCATTTACAAAGCACTTAGTTTGTTTGAAATATTTTAATTTCAGTGACCTAATTTTCTTCCATTATTAGGCAGGTTTAACATACATTGTGCCTGCATGACTACTTTGTGAACAAAACTTCAGAGGAGATTACAATTGTTATAGGCTTTTTAACCTGTCAGGTTTTAAAATGCTTGAAAATAATTCCATTAAAACTAAATTTAAAGGTCCATAAAAATTAATCTGTTTTGTAAATTTAAAAAGGAGGAAGAGATATTTAACTTGATATCTTGTTAAGCAGAGAGATTGTCCAAAGCTTAATGTATGAATGGGGAAAGTGTTTGAAAGGTTTGCTGAATTAAATGTCCAATAAAAATATAGAGCTTATTTGAAAACTCTGAGAATAGAATTGCTATTAGATTATTTTATGAAATAAATGTCTGTCTTAGGATTAGTGTCAATTTACATGCTTTCATTATCTGTTCTGCAAAGTCATTCAAATTTGTTCATACCTTTTCTGTTGTGCAAAGCCATATTCAACCTTAGCTTAATTCCTGAATTTTCTTAATTATACTTTTTCTGAATCATTCTTGGAAAGTGCAAAGCCTTGTCTGTGGGTTGTTTGTGCAGTTGTGAAATTTTTTGCTTCATCCAATATACTTCTCATTCATGGCTAAACTTCTTATTTCTCCTCAGCTGTTAACAAATGCATGAATTTTATTGTGGCAATTAAAGCGAGGTCCCTTCTGCTTATACTGTTGTTGTATAATGACAGGATCTATCCAACATCCAGTTACTGTGTATATATAGCTACTGTTGGTTTCCTAAGTGATAAAAAACAGTCAAATTCTCCACAGTTGTCTACCCTTGCAGACAATTATTTATTTAATATCATTACAGGGTTGTCCTAAAGAATTTAAATTGCAGGAGACATTAAAAAAGTAGAAGAGGGTCTGGGGTTCCTTCCCTTACATTTGGGTTGAGAGGAAATACAAGAATATAACCAGGGGATTGCCTCATTATAGGTGTAGAGTAAATTCCCCAGCCCCCGGCTCTTAGGTACAGACCAGTAATTATGATATTACTTTATTTTGTATTATCCCAATGTCAGAGAGTAATTTTTATCCCCATTTCATCAGAGCAGTGTGTTCAATTTTTAAAAGTATCATAGGACTGCAACATTGTTATTTATAGAATATACTGCATGTTTCGTAACACTTCATCAATTAAAAGTTGTTTTTCATTAACTGTTGGTTTATTTGTAAACAGGAAGTCACAGCTTGGCGGACAGCTCCACACAGAGAAATGGTCACGGACAGGACAGTACAGTCAGTGTGGAAGAGACCACAGACAGCGGCAGGCCGCATTCAGTTTTTGCCCCGGAGATGTCACAAGTGGATGAAAACTCGGAAAAAGATCATAATGAAGAAGGTACAGTAAAGCCGTTCTTCGTGATTTTAAAAATTTAAAAAGGAGACATAATTAGTAGAGTTTCCTTCACATGTATACTTCCTTTCAGAACCATTTTCTTAGACTTTAGGCTTTTCATGTTGTACATCTTATACTTGGGATAATAGTGTTTGTTCAGCTTTGTGGAGTTCACTTTGCTTTTGTGTAAATTGTTAAGGCATGCAACTTTTTCTTGCTTTATTTCCTATTTTAAAGAAAAATTTCTATAACCTTCCATAAATAAAAAAAAAATCTTATAGAAGAAGCAATATTATAACATTTTTTTCTATTTCATTTTTTTATTAGATGAAGATGAAGCTGAAATTGCAGGTTATTTGGGACATGATGATTACACCCGTTCCATTCTCACCGTGGAGTTCCCTCCCTTTTACTTCTCCACACACGGGTTATCTCGACCCAGCACCCCAAATAATGAGGACCAGCCAAGGTAAACTCTAAATTGTTCAACAGAAATTTCTAATCAGAGTGCCTTAAATATATAATATTGAGATATGTTTTTACTCACCAGACCTTAAATACATGTACATGAACTACTACAATATGTGCGGGTCATAACCTTGTAATCTTGAATTCAATTGGACCAAAGAAAAAAATCTTCTTTCTTTGAGGATTTGAGATATATTGAGGTTAAAATACAATAAAAGATTGATGGGACTTCCATCTCACCTCAGCATATCCTTTGTATTCAAGATATCAAGGATAAATATAATGTTCAGTTGATATAAAGCCACTAAAGAGATGAATATTATACTATTAACATTGTGTCTCTGTGTCTGGCAGGTATTATCAGCTGATTGAGAAAGCCATAGAACCTAACATGATCAGTCCTGTGGAAACCGAGACCGTCCAAGGAATCTTTGAACTGGTTCCTAAAACCCTCAGACAAGCTGTGCCGAGTGCCAAACGCAGGTTTCTTAGGGTATGTTAAATGTAGGTTTCTTAGGGTATGGAGTTTCTTAGGGTAAGTCATAAATATTATATTCCACAATTTCTGCCATTTTCAGTAACTGTTAGATAGGGAAAATTCAGTTTTATATTTAGTTGTTGAATGGTTTTGTATTTATATTTTGTGATTGTAATTTTTGTGTATATATATCATGGTAATAATATATATGAAATACAAAATAATTATGAGCATATGCAACAAGTCAGATATTTAAATATGCCTTAAGATCTATTGTCCCACAAAATCTCAATTTGACAATGTCAGGTACTCCATTTAAAAAGAGACAGAAACATTGGTCATTATTGAAATAAAAAAAGGCCTGATTGAGTTGTGGAGAAGGGGGGGGGGTTTGCTGAAATGAATATGCAGAGTGTTTTTATCTTGCAGGAAATGGAGGAGGATAGAAGATTGGCTCTGAAGAAAGCTATACTGGATTACATCTTATTAGACACAGCAGAACAAGAGAGACTGGGGGTACCCATACCAGTCAAGGTGAGCAAGCTAACTAAAGGCTGGGGGGGGGGGGGGGAGGGAGGGGGGGCACAATGGAACAGGAGAGACTTGGGGTATGTATGCCATTTGGTAAGTGTTTTAAAAAAAAAGTGACTTTATAATGACCCTTCTTGAATTTCATATTTTTTTTTCAACAGGATTTCATCTATGCTTCATGTTTTACTTTCAGTTGTTAAATCTTACGTTGTAAGTCTTCCAGAGTCTCTTCATTTTGTCCCAGTATCAGACTTGTATGAACTGTAATGTAATGATATATAATTGGCCTTTTTATGGTTTGTGGATTATGTTTCTATTGCAGCCCTCCAACTCTGCAGGTAGACACCAGTACCCCTGGCACGAGATGGTCAACAGGACTCGAGATTTTATGAAGAATGACCTGTTTATCACACACCCTGTCATGTACACCATTCTATATCATTTCCAAACAAAGTAGGCATTATTTAACTGACTGCAAACTTATGATTTATTTGCCTTAGTTCTACTATTTAGTAATTCGTTATTCTAAGAGCTCCTGTCTTCTCTTTGTACACTCAAAGTTTTATAAGGCTGGTACTATGAACAATTTTGAAAATTAAGACTTGACATTATGTAGATGCAAGATGGAGACAAAAGATGTGATGGATTAAAAGGTAGACCTAGACAGCCACCATGCAATCATTAAAGTTTCACTGAAGGATTTTGCTTAATTTGATGTCCCTTCTACACTTAAAAATGAGAGAGTGGTTATTATTTGGTCTGCCTGCCTACAGTTAAACCAGATTATCTCTCTATTACCACTCTATATGAGACAGAGACTTTTGGGGCAAGATCTAGGCTTTGTGTTAGCTAAATAATTCTCCAAGGGAAAAGTATAAAATTTCTATTGCTGTGGGGTGGGGGTGTATTCCACAAACATGTCTTTTATACCCTTATCATCTTTTAGATATGGAGACTTTAGGCTTATCGATATTCCTCACCTGAGAGAGATCATGCCACTAACCATGGAAAATTTCTACAAAAATGTCAAACAATCCAGCTTGGATGCCGCAGAGAAGCTGCGCTATGAGTGGCTACCTGAGGTGTGTGAGATTGTGGATAGCCACCGCGACACTGTGGAGGACTGGATGCCACAAGATTCAGTAAGTTTGAAAGTGGGATCTAAGATATTTGATGCCACAGGATTCAGTAAATTTAAAGGGAGGTTCTAAGGTTTTCGATTTGTTAATGAGTTTGAATTTTAGTTTAAGGGGGTAGGGTCTAAGGGTTTTGAAGCTACAAGATTCAGTAAATTTGAGGAGAGGATCTAAAGATATTTTTGATGTGTTGGAGAGTTTTGAAAAATATCCAAAAGAAGAAAAAATTGGGGCATGCACTAATATTATGTGGCCAGGGGATATGGGGTATATCTTCAATAGAACGAGAGAGAGTAGGATTGATACTGAATCAAAATACTATCAATTTCAAGTACTGGTACTTGTAATAAATCGAGGGCGTAGGTCTTTAAAGAGATTGTATATCCTTGATTGTTTAAAACTGCATATAAATACGTATGACACTTTTGATTAATTTGTCAAAGGTCATCTGAATTTAACTTATTCTTTATTCTGCAGTGACATGTTTAATCATAACCCATTATTCACTTACAAAAGTCGGCCATTTCGATGACAGATTGTAGGCCTTGCAATTGATTAATGGTCATTTTTTTGTCAATCTAAAGTGTTGCTTAAATATTAGGGAATCAAATACCCTTATCAGACTATACTTGGGAAAAAAATAGTTTAAGTACATGTAACATAATGCCTTTGGTGCATTGACTGTTTGTACTCTTAGCTGTTTTTTTTTTTTTTTTTTTTTTTTGGTCTTATATTTTGTGAATTTTATAAGAGCTTAGTAAGCACTTTTAAAAATAGCTGTTTATTTACCTGAAATTTTGTAATGTTTTTGATAGTCTTGTGATATTAAGTTGCCTTTTACTTCTTTAAATAGCCATTTTTCTCGTATTTATTGCAGATAAAAATGTCCTCAAAAATGTTCTTTGATATGATTTAAATTTTCAAATTATCCATTAAAAATCAGCAGAATAAACAGAGTGTAAATTTGTTATGAAATAGCCGATTAAAAAATTTTCATTTTTTTTTTCAAACAGGGTCTGAGGATGAAAAAGATGGACAGGTTCTTCAACAGCATTGCGTCTTTGATGTCAAATTTGCTACGAAGTTGTGTAATTAACTCTATATATGACCTGGTGGACTTGATAGAGGAATACACAGCAGGAAGTAGCTACGACGGCGAATATACACTGTTCAGTGGGTTAGCCCTGCCCACTAAAATCCACATAGTTCACTTCTTCATGGTAAATGATTGTGATTTCGTTAGTAAATTTTTACGTATTAATTATTTTGTTTTATTCATATCTGCAAGTAATTCAGTCAAGCGTGAAGAGAAATACAGGATGTCCTTGTTGATGATAAAATGCTTCCAAATATACATGAAAAAGTTAACCAACTGTAACAGGAAAGGGGAAAAATGCGAATTCCAACCCAGGCCCCCTGAATCTCTAATCAAACCCGTTTGACCTCCACACAACAACTAAATTGAGTCAACACCCCCCATAACATGATTTAGTGTTGAACAGTCATACATATTTAAATGAATTGCAATTATTTAAAGATTTAAATACATGTTTATACTTTGATTTGAAATTAAGAATGATTAGTTATGATTCCTATATATCAAAAGGGTGTTCTACTTTTCCTTAGTGTGTAATTTAAAGAGATTCACTTTTTAGTGATTCTGTGTATCCTTTACACCTCTCAAAATGTGTTAGTCATGGAATGAAAAAGAATTTTTAGGATACCAAAAAAAAGTGCAAATTGATTATTAGTTTAAAATGATAACACTATGATATTTTTCAGCAAGAGGATATGGAGAAGGTAGACATTAATTTTAAGCCAAATTTCTCGGACATCTGTGATTTCTTCTGTCTGATTATTGATCACATGATCGTCAGCGTGAGGGAGCTGCCTCGGGTTGAACATCTCCTGTTCCAGTCTGTGGAGGATCTACAAATTTCCACCATCAGGAGTGTGATCATTGAGGAAGAGCTGGTGGAAAACGCTAAGGAGAGGATTCGAGTGGTTATCATGGCAAACAGTCATGGTCCTAACAGGTAATTATTTATTATGCTAATGAATTCTTTCTTCTCTGTAACTTATTTATTAATTACCGGTTGGCAGGGGATGCTCACTCCTCCATGGCACCTGATCCCACCTCTAAATTTTGAGGTCCGTGTTTGCTCTGCTCCAAATTTGTATCGTTTCATTGCACTTTTGAGATTGAATACTGTTCGTTATCTTCATATTTCATTAAAACATAGCGAAAGAAAAAAATGGTAAGTAATTTTAAAAGCAGTACATCAGAAAAAGTAATTAAGAAGCAGGTGAGGAAGTTACAAAGTTCACTGTTTGGAACAGAAAATATTAATGTAGCATCATTTTGTTTCTGTAGGTACACATCTGTGTATGATCCATACAAATATCTCATCTCCGTGGAGACAGAAAACAAGGTCAAAAAGTTCATAAATAAGGAGCGCCCTCTACGGGAGTACAGACAGGAAATAGAAAAGTTGAAGAGGCTGATCTCAGCTGTTGCATCACTTCCTGTTGCCATTCCAATGCATTTATTTTACTTAGACTGTAACCATATCAACCAGGTAAATGGAATTAAAATCGTGTCTTTTAAGAAATAAATGATGTTAAAGGCCAATGAATGAAAGAACTAAAGGAAGAGAGATAAAGCTTTCAGAAGATTTATAATGGACTGGTAAGAAGAAGGTTGATGTTCAAATTATTTATATTGATGAAAATTTGAATCATTTCAATTCACAGTGGTTAATCAAAAGGGCCAGGTACTTCATTGATATTATGGTCACCAACATAGCTAACATGAGCCGGGATTTCAACAAGGGGATATGTAAGCAGTATGACACGATTGTGAAGAAAGTAGCCCAGCAGGCTGAGAATACAGAGGAACTGGTTCAGATGCAGAACTATGTAGAAAATCTTAAAGTGGGGGAACTGCTGCAGCTAAAGGTAGGGGACTTCCTAAAAGTAGTTACTGCAGCAAGAGATGGAAAACCTCCTCGAAGAAGAGCATTACTGTAGATAGGATTAGGGAGCCTCCTCGAAGTAGAGCAATTACTGCAGCAAGAGTTAGGGAACGTCCTCAAAGTAGAGCATTACTGTAGATAGGATTAGGGAGCCTCCTCAAAATAGGGCAATTACAGTAGATAGGATTAGGGAGCTTCCTCTAAGTAGAGCATTACTGTAGCTAGGGTTAGGGAACATCCTCAAAGTTGAGCATTACTGTACCTAGAGGTAGGGAATTGCAGAAACTGGGGAGATACTACTGAATTGGAAGAAAAGAAACTTTGAAATGAAGGGAACTAGTGCTTCTTTCAAGGTAGGAGAAAACTGCTGCAGCAAAAGGGAGGAAACCTCAAACTTCAGGGAGGGAATCTGAAAGTGGGGGATATGCTCTACTGTAGACCACCAAATTTTCGTGACACCTTATTTTTTTGCGAGATAGATATTTGGTATTTATAAGTGGGAAAAAATTTTCATGAATTAGGTTATTGCTGCCGTTGAGTCATACTAATACAAATATACATGTATATGTGAGAACAGAATTTCTTCTCACATGATTACATGAAAGTAAAATTCTCGCAAATAAAAAATGATTCACAGTACTATAGATCACCAAGTTTTAGGGAGATCTTATTTTAAGAATCAGTGTTTGGTATTTCTAAGGGAGGCAAAAATTTCACGAATGCTGGTTATTGCTGTATAATAGCTATACTAACATAATAAATATATACTAGAATGAAATTTTTTCGTGAGCATGCATGTACTATGTGGCATTATTAAGCGAAAATAAAGTTCTCACAAATAAAAATTGATGTACAGTACTTAGAGGTAGGGTATCTTAGAATTGGGGACCTCAGCTAAAGATAGAAAATCTTTAAGTGGGGAGTTGTGCAAAATTTAGGGACCTCGGGAGTTCAAAATATGTAGAATTTTCTATACAATGTCATTTAAATTCTTAAACATCAACATTGAATTTCTTCTGCAGGACAAACAAGAAGTGGCTGGACAGAATTTGATGTTTTTGTTGGACTATACCTATCTATCTACTGCTGATATTTCTACTAACAACACCACGTTCACCTGGGCAGAGAAAATTGTCCCTATTATCAGCAGCACGTAAGTTACTGGGCATGGGCATTTAAAGGACTTTGTTAGAGGAAACTCCCATAAATTTCAAGAAAATTCTTTTTGTAGAAATGCTTTGAACATATTTTGTGACAAAATAAATTCCCATAACTCTTGTTTATTTCAAGAAAAAAAAATAATATTTAAAAAATATTTCAAAATGTACTAAAGAAAATAACTTGCCTTGTGATATCATAAGATCAATTTTACTGATCACTATCTTCCCACAGAGAGAAGAAACTGTCCAAGGACCATGAGATCTACAGTAACAAGCTGAGGGACAAGAAGAAGAAGTTCCAGGAGGAGCTGGACTACGCAGAGAAACAGGTGAAGATGTTCCAGAACAAGAGCAACATGAACGAGGCCGAGAACTTCATACAGGAACTGGAGGACATTGCCAGGAAGCTGGAACTCTTCCAGGAAGAGGTCAGGGGTCGTTCCTAGGGAGGCTGGGAAATTTCCAATTTCTGTAGAACTCAAGGGGTTATTACTAGGGAAGCTCTAATGTTTCCTATTTTTTCTGAACTTAGGGTTATTTACTAGGAAAGCTGGGAAATTGATTATTTCTGTTGAACTTGAGGATTGTTACTAGGAAAGCAAGAAAAATTCCTATTTCTGTTAAACCAAGGGATTGTTTCTAGAAAAGCTGGAAAATTTCCTGTTTTTGTTGAATTCAGATGAGCAGAATGGATTTCAAATTCTGACTCATGGTTTTCTAGATCTGTGCATGATTCTATCATATTGACCCTAAAACTTTGTTATTATCAACAGCTTTAATGAAGGTAACCACATATTGTGTAGAAGAAATAAATATATTGTTATGAAAAACTAAACATTTGCACTTCTTCACTGTCATAACATGAAATTAGTTATAAAATATTTTTCTGTATCGCAAATGGATTTTTCCATATCTCAACTCTACATTGGCATACATTATTACATTCCTGGTTGCAATTAGAATCCAAAAAGAATTCAGACTAATTTGTAATTTTATCACAGTCATGGATGATTTCATTTCAAGACCTTGTTTGCTGATATTTCAGAAAGTAAAGATAAACAGAGAGGAGATGTTACTAGGACAGGAAGTGATGTCACAGTATGGACAAATCCAGGCCATCACCACTGCGAGAGAACCGTACGAAAAACTCTGGAGGACGGCCGTCACCTTCCACAAGGAGCATGACAACTGGATGAATGGACCGTTACTGAAGGTCAATGCAGAGGTCGTGGATGAAGAGGTAAGGAAATATGCAAACATTATAATAAGTGAAAACAGATTGGAAGTTTTTTGTTTTTGTGTGTGAAGAGAAAATTACGGAAATTACGGTAAGAGGTCTCTGTTAATAGCAACTGTTGTATAGGCTTTATTTGTAGAATTTGATTTCATGTGAAAATGAATGCCCATGTAATGAAATTTAGTTCAATCTTTTGCATCACTAACAAACTCTCAAAATATTGTAACAGCATTTTGCATTTTGGAAAAAAAATCCCATTCTTTACAGATTAAAAATTTCACATGACATAAATTTTCAGGTCCAGAATCTGTGGAAGACTGCTTACAAACTGACAAAACAATTCGCCCATCCAGACTTCCGTGGACCGAAAACTGCAGCCATTAAAATTAAAACGAGGCTGGAAACATTTAAGATCCACATGCCTTTGATTAATGCCCTGTGTAACCCGGGCATCAAAAAGAGGCATTGGGACATGATGAATGAAAAGGTTTGAAAATTTGCTTACACACTTTCTCTTTCAAATAGTGCATGTTTTCTGAGATGTCAACTTTTTGCAAAATTTTCAGTCAGTACAAAATTCAGAACATTATGACTTTGCAAGTAATTGATGGGCCACATTAAAAACAACAAATTTTGTTTCACTAAAGAAATATAGCTGAAAAAGGAAATTGTGCATCTTGATTTTTTAAAACAAAAGTGAATTTTCAACTTCAGAGATTTATAAATACATGTATGTTAATACTTGTACTCTTAATTCAGTAGTGTATTTTTTAGAAGTACTAACTTGAGTATTTGTATGGAACATAACAGGTTGGTTTCCACATGGCTCCCAATGAAGACACACCATTACAAGAGATACTGAAGTTAGACCTGGACAAATATCTCGATGTCCTACAGGAAATCAGCTCGCAGGCCAGCAAGGAGTTTGCTCTAGAAAAGGTAATAATCAGTGCAGATAAGTCTTATCTTCTACATATATATCAGGTCTATTTTCACCTTGTCACTTTTTTTGACATATATGTAGGTGAATGATATCAATGAATTGATTAAGATTTTTTGTCAATCAATAGATAATTAAAATGCCATGATTTTTGTGGTTCAAAGAAGTGGTAGAAATACATGTATGTCATCAATATGTCATTGATCTTCGGTGATGATGATGATGTGTTTATTATGAGGATGATGAAGTTAAAGATTTTAACATTTCATTCTAAATAAATGTTGATAATCTCAAAGCTTGTCAATGTTATTTGATGAGGAGGAGTTGGAGGCTGGAAGGGGTGGGGGTGAGGGGTATCTAATTGTACTTCTGTTTGATGATGATCTTATCATCAAGCATCTGAGTTGATGATGATGGATGATGATGATGATGATGATGATCCTATCGTGATTTCAGGCTCTGGAGAAGATGAAGAGTGACTGGGAGAACATTCACTTTTCCTTTGTCCCGTACAAGGATACTGGCATCTCTATCCTATCCTCCCCCGAGGATATCCAGGTTCTGCTAGATGACCACATCGTCAAGACAACCACAATGAAGGGCTCACCATTTATAGCACCTTTTGAAGTGGCAGTTAATGAGTGGGATAATCTGCTGGTTTGTATATCAAATGTTCACTTTCATACTGGTTAATGAGTGAGAAGTGATGGATGATTGAATCTTGGAATTTTATGATGCACACTTCACAAATTGTAAAAATTACGTGTTAGATTAATTTTGGTAGTTGTTTTGAGAGTCCAATGCCTTAAGTTCTCATACTTTCTGATTTTATTTGATTGTTTTTAAAGAATCTTGGGAATAATTTTGTTTATTTTGAATTTTTTTTAGCATCGGATTAAAAATATTTTGGAGTCCTGGTTGAAGGTACAGGCAGCCTGGTTGTACTTAGAGCCGATTTTTGGTTCACAGGACATCAGGAACCAGATTCCCGTGGAAGGCAAAATGTTTGAGGAGGTGGATGAACACTGGTAAGGCTGTGAGAAAGACAATGCCATTACTGATTATATTTGTTTCAATTCAAAGTTGTTAAAAGGAGAAAATTTAATATAATTTTATGTTTGAAATTCAAAAGGTTTTTATTTTTGTAGAAAGTTTATGTGTGGAACAAATCTCAAAATCTATATAGATAATGGACAAATGTTTCTTTCTTCATTTAATTGTAAAATGTGATAGGGATACTGTACAAGTTTCTAACTTTTTTGAGGTTTAATCTTGTACTGTTCAAGTGAAAAAAGGGTACAATTGTGATGTTTTAATTTACAGGAAAACAATCATGGAGAATGCAGTGAAGGACACACAAGCTTTAGTGGTAGTCTCTCAGGACCAGATGTTGGAAAAACTCCAACACTCAGAGGTAAGGTTTCTTACCAAGCAATTACAGAGTTTGTGGGTAAAATCAAATTTAAATCAGAAGTAAGATTACAAGACCATCCAATACAAGTTGTACAGTCTTGTACCTTTGTTTGTTTGCATCATGGTCCAAAGTAATGTAGACTTGATATATATAAGGTCAGAGGGTAACGAAGTGATGAGAATTTTTCTCGAGACTACCTTGCAACATTTGCTTAAAATGAGTTTAAATTTAGTCTGATCTTGCCCTTTACCATAGAGTGTGTTATGAAGATAATGTACAATATCATGTATTGTACAACACAGTATAATGTATATCAAGGTCACAGGCAATGACAAGGAGTGTGATTACCAAAGATTTTGGAAATTAACATAACAGGTTTAATTTCACTTTGTTCAGGATTTATCATTTTTCTGCAAAATTAAAACCCATAATGAATGTAAAGGTAATCAGGGGCCTGTTTTACAAAAGAACTTATGACTAAGACCAAAATCTTTAGTTGATTGTAAAATATTGCAAACTTAAAGATTCTGTTTAAAATTGCCAGTGTAAAAATATCTTACTACATTCCTTTTAAAAAGATTAACACCATTTTCAACGTAATGTAAATAAGAAAGTTATAAACAGAATTAAATTTTGGTCTTAGTCTTAAGTTCTTTTGTAAAACGGGCCCCTGATCTTTATCACAAGTCCATAGTCTGCAATTAAAACCACCATGATTTGTACCCTTGTAACAAATCATGAATTTTAGCACCATGTAATTGAAACAACAATAGTTCTTACATTATATGATTGGGGGATTACTGGAAACATTTGTTCTGTAATGTACATATAATTCAGTAATGTTAAAGATGATTAGTAATGAAATATTAAAATTCATTCTGTTTCTCGCTTTCAGTCAATGCTGGATGATATTCAGAAAGGACTAAATGATTACTTAGAAAAGAAAAGACTCTTCTTCCCAAGGTCAGATATCAGCAGTGCTCTTGTCTAAATTCTAAAATCTTTAAATCATAACAAAAAGATGCCAGATCTCCACAGATATTATTTTTCTCCATTTAAAATTCTTCAGGTTTTTCTTCCTTTCCAATGATGAGTTACTGGAGATTCTCTCCGAGACCAAAGATCCACTCCGAGTACAGCCGCACTTGAAGAAATGCTTTGAGGGCATTGCACAGTTGACCTTCACCCCTGACACTATCATCACTGGCATGGAGTCTGCTGAGAAAGAGGTTGTGGAGTTTGCTAGGACCATCGCTCCTAAAGAGGCCAGGGGTCTAGTGGAGAAATGGCTTTTACAGGTGAAGAAATATTTTGTAAAAAAAGGGGGGGGGGATAAAGGGGTGGAAGATACTTGTACATTTAAACATTCAAAAAATGATAGCACAAACTTGTGAAAAGATCCTATTGCTGTGCAATTTTATGATCATGGTGTTTTATTGTGCTAATGTTTTTAATTTTTTCTCCTTAATGGGTGCCTCATTAAGGGGAGAAGGGACCTATCCTCAGCCTATTCATTGATCATAGCAGTCAGATACTTTAATTATTTGCTTGAGAATTTTGTATGTTTGAAGAAAATAATTTATAGATAATTGAGATAAAATTGTCTGTGGAAGCTTTCATATGCTGTTTATCACAAAATTTTTGCAACACCTCATTTCTCAAGAAAATTATTTGGTAATAAGTGAGACAAAATTTTCGGGAATATCATTTTTGTTGTGCATAATCCTTTATTAGATTAATATGAGCATGAATAAAATTTTTGTGAGCAGATGATCTCACATAATTATTCGAAAATTGAATTCTCGCTAATCAAAAGTGGTTTACAGTATATGTATTGTGTGTTTTTTTAAAATACAAACCATGTTCATGTATTGTGCCAAATGACAAACGGAAAATTTTCTCTCCAGGTTGAAGAAGTGATGAAGCTGAGTTTGAAGGAAGTCATGAAGAAAGCCGTCAAAGAGTATCCCACAATTCCCAGAAAGGACTGGGTCGTCAAGTGGCCAGGACAAGTCGTTCTGGCAGCCAGCCAAATTCACTGGACAACGGAAGTCACTCAGGTGAGAAGTTTTGGCCAAAATTAGTTTATGCACCAATTTTAGATTGTTCAACTAATAGATAAGTGCAAAAATCACTTGATCACGCAATTCTGTTATTGACTGAGTTTAGAGTTCATTCAGGCTCATACATGTACGTTTTAATAAAGTTGTTTAAATAAATTAAGATTAAAGATTAATTTGTTGGGTTTTTTAATGTCATTATGAAATAAAACTTTAATATTTCTTACATTTTATTTACAGTCTATTACAAGTGGATTTATGGGACCTTACCTTGCCAAAAGTAACAAGCAGATAGACGAAGTGGTGGCACTTGTCAGGGGGTCCCTGTCTAAAATGGCCAGAATCACTCTTGGAGCCCTCATTGTTATTGATGTACATGGTAAGACTGTTACTTATGTCTGATCTGATCAGATATAGTATTTTATCCTTGTTCTTCAACTACATGCTCTATGTTACAATGCTTTTCTATTCTTGACTGAGTATATCTAGACAAGAAATTCGTTGGTTATTTACATGTACATCGTGGATTTTATTTGGAAGTTAAAATTATAATTTTTGTAACTGACAACTGTACATTATGAAAATAAAATCCAGTTTCTACTTTGAAGTAATAAAATTATTCAGCTATCTGATCATGAGTTAGATTTTCAAAGTGAAACTAAATTCTAGAGTATGAAGTGATTTTGTGTATTGTGCTTTCAGCTAGGGATGTTGTCGCCCACTTGAATGATGTCCAGACACGCAGCGTGAATGATTTCTCATGGATCAGCCAACTCCGTTATTACTTCATTGAGGACTTGGTTCAGGTGAAAATGATCACCACCACTGTGGCGTATGCATATGAGTATCTGGGCAACACCGGGAGACTGGTCATCACACCACTGACTGACAGGTGTTACAGGTAAGATTCTAAATAATCATGCAGGCCTGAATTATATGTCTAAATGCATTAGGGATACCCCAAGTACTTATGGGGTTTACATCACATACACAAAATTTTGGAATTTTTACCTTCATATTATTTCAATCATGGAAAGCTCTGCCAAACAAAGATATTTTTTTTTTAACAATCACTATAGGACACTGATGGGCGCCCTACTTCTGAATCTGGGAGGTGCCCCAGAGGGACCTGCAGGTACAGGGAAGACGGAGACATCAAAGGATCTGGCGAAAGCTGTGGCCAAGCAGTGTGTGGTGTTTAACTGCTCTGATGGGCTGGACTACAAAGCCATGGGCAAATTCTTCAAGGGTCTGGCCCAGTCAGGGGCATGGGCATGCTTTGATGAGTTCAACCGTATTGAACTGGAGGTTTGTTGTTGTTGATTTTTTTTTTTGAAATCTTTATCTTCTAAAATATTATACATATGCTGAATGTAATCTATGAATGTTTTAAAAATCTTGAATTGAAATGGGTGTAAGTGCATGAAAATTTGGAATAGAGGCATCCTATATGATGTCATCTTTTCACACATTATAATTATGCTCTTTTGCATTTGGCGAAATCTTTGAATGCATTTAAAATGTACATGTACCTGAAAAAAAAAAGAAAACATGCAAATCATTGAGGATTAACTTGATCTTCACCATTTGTAGGTATTGTCTGTGATAGCCCAGCAGGTACAGACCATACAGAGAGCTATAGCTGAGCAGGTTCAGCTGTTTATGTTTGAAGGAACACAGATCAGACTAGACCCCACCTGTACCATCTTCATTACAATGAACCCTGGATATGCAGGCCGAGCAGAGCTTCCTGACAACCTGAAAGTAAGGAAAGATGTGTAACTGGAAGAAAAAAATAACTTAAAATGTCAAGGACAAATGTTGGACATGATTTATTCCCATGTCAAATATCTTGTGCCCAGGAAAACAGATAATAGAAAGTTTGTGGTGTGGACAATGTTATTTGAATTGATAAAGTTTATTTGTCATAAAATAACAATTGCCTATTTAAAGAAATCCCTTACTCCAATGAATTTTGTTCATAGATTTGATTTTGAATGTTATGTTTCAGGTATTATTCCGAACAGTGGCCATGATGGTCCCAGACTATGCCATGATTGCAGAGATTTCTCTGTATTCTATGGGATTTGTGGATGCGCGCAGTATGTCCACCAAGATTGTCGCCACATACCGACTGTGTTCAGAACAACTGTCTTCCCAGCATCACTACGATTACGGCATGAGGGCTGTCAAATCCGTACTGACGGCTGCCGGAAATCTGAAGCTGAAATACCCAGAACATCGAGAAGAAGTCCTGGTGCTGAAATCAATCAACGATGTCAATCTTCCCAAGGTTAGGCAGTAACCCCAAATTCTAAATTATTTCCTAAAAAAAGCCAGGCTTCTGAGCCATAAAATGAAGCTGAGCTAACTATTGATCTTGATCTCACTCTTCCATGTTAGATTCCTTTGGTAAAAGTGAGACAGAGTTCAAAAAGTGAGCTTAAGAGATTTATGGCCCCAGAGCCTGGTTTCTTTATTTTCAGTTCCATTTTAACTGCCACATTTAATTAACCTTGTTAATTGGGATGCTAGTGTTCCAAAGGAAATTGCCCAGATTAATGAAGTATCTAGGTAAATGAGACATACTGTATAGTAGATATACTGTATTACATACATTGTGCTCCACAAACATTAAATGATGTTTACTTTTCCTTTCAGTTTTTGTCCCATGATATTCCATTGTTCCAAGGAATCATTTCTGACTTGTTCCCTGGAGTAGAACTTCCTGAGGCAGACTATGGCCAACTCGAGGAGGCCCTGGTAGAGCACATCTTAAAACGAAAACTACAACCAGACAAGTGGTTCATTGAGAAAATTATCCAGGTAATGGTTGTGTGATACATTGAACAAGTGGTTCATTGAGAAATTTATTCAGGTAATGGTTGTGTGATACATTGAACAAGTGGTTCATTGAGAAAATTATCCAGGTAATGGTTGTTTGATACATTGAATAAGTGGTTCATTGAGAAAATTATCCAGGTAATGATTATATTCTACTTAGAGAAAACCGTGCAGGTTCCTGTATTGTTCCAAGGGAAAAAGTGGTTAGAGAAATTAATCTTGGATGACAAACATTTTGGTATTGGTCAACTAAAAGAAAATATCCATAAAAGAGAGAGAATTTTAAGTACTTCAATGGAAAAATTTATATAGTAAATTTTAAATTTTTTATTGAAAAATTGTTGTTGAATATAAACTGATTTGTCTTTGTACAAATTTACATGTACGTGTTTGTTAAGCAGCTACAGGAAATCTCTAGAAATTGTCAACTTTCCACCTGCTAAATACTGAATTTTGTTTCATTTACTTCCATTTAGAATCCATATCCCACAATTTTTCTGTAATAAAACAACTACATAGATAAGGATTACCAGTCCTAAACAATACAAAATGCAGTGTATATTACATTTGTTTTCAGATTTATGATATGATCCTGGTGCGACACGGACTGATGATTGTTGGGGATCCCCTTGGGGGGAAGACCTCGGCCTTTAAGATCCTGACTGAGGCTCTACATGTCATGCATGACAAAGGACTCATGGAGGAAAACAAGGTAAACATCTTCCTCTAAAATCTGATGCCATGGAAAATATAAAAAGACATGGAAACTTTGGTTAATTTAATTCACTTAAAGGGTGATGTCAAATTTTAAAAATAAATTTTCAATATGGAAATCAATTTTATGGCAGTCACTATAAATATTCCAACTGAGGCATCAACACATACATTAATATATATGACTGCTTCACAATTACTGCAAGATGCAAAATGAGCAGTCACACTTTGTGTGACTACATGTATACATGTATCTTGCATATGAAGGACCGATTCTAGTACCATATGACGCATACAAAAATAAAATTCTAATCTCTGAGTTTATTTGTCATATTGACTGCTTAATATTGATTGTAGGTGATATACTCTATAATTAATCCCAAAGCCATCACTATGGGACAGTTGTATGGTAGATTTGATCCTGTCTCTCACGAATGGTTTGATGGTGAGTACAAAGTGTTTAGAAATGATTCCTGACAAACTAGAGATTGAAAAAACCCTGCTGCTGAGATGCAGTTGTAGTTGTGCGGGGTGTGGAAATTTAATACCTCTACGGTGTTCTTATATATAGGTGTTTTGGCAAACACGTTCAGGGAGCATGCCTCTAACACATCTCCGGACAGGAAGTGGATTATCTTTGACGGACCAGTGGATGCTGTGTGGATTGAGAACATGAACACGGTCCTTGATGACAACAAAAAGGTCAGATTTAATTGTGGTTTTGTACATGGAGAAAGTGCAAAACTGTTTTGATGTGTGGATGTGGGTCTTTTTGTAGTTAACATAAGCCTCGGAAATGGCAATGCTGTAAATGTATAGGAAACTGATTGGATTTATAATGATGCAATCACACATCAAAAACTGTTCTTTGATTTGAAATGGTGCAAGAAGATACTTCATCTCATGGTCCGCCATGTTTCTTTAAGGAAGTATCATGATATATTGACTTTTTAGCTATGTCTGATGAGTGGAGAAATTATCCAGATGAACAACACACAGAATATGATCTTTGAAGCCATGGACTTGGAGCAGGCATCACCAGCCACAGTCAGCAGGTTAATTTTTTTTAAATCCCTCACCCTTCAATCAAGGAGCTTTAAATTCTGCATATGTTCCCTGTTTTAATTTGGACAAAATAATCAAGGTCAATATTTTGCTTTGTCCATGAAATACTTGAGAAGGAAAAGGTCGAACTTGAATTTTAGTTGTGTTTCACAATATATCTTTAGATAAGATATGATACTTTTTTACAAGTGTTGACTGTATATTGTATAATATGCATTCCATTGTTAAGGGTTTTTATTTGTCCATCCAGAATGTATAATGAAAGAAATATTGAATTATATGTAGAAGTGATAATATGGTTTTATACAGGTGTGGTATGATCTACATGGACCCTCTACAGCTGGGATATAATGCCTTAATCAAGTCCTGGATGGAGCATGAACTCCCAAATAACCTCACATGGGAACAGAAAGACACCATCAAGGTACAGAATAGAGTCTTTTACTTCCGCATAAAATGAGTGCATTTTGAGTAATGAATTTCTCTGGTTTCTTCAATATTTTATTCTAATATTATAGTAAATACATTTAATTATCCATTAACAGATGTTGTTTGAGTGGATGCTGGAGCCGTGTTTGAATTTCGTGTCCAAGTACTGTAAGTGTTTACTGACGTGTCACCCGATGCACCTGACGGCCAGCATGCTGACCCTGTACAGCTGTATGATGGAGGACGTCAGGTAACTTCTTATTTCTGCTGGTTGTTTCTGATGGTCAGGCAATGATGTATAAACATCATTATTGTTAAAATCCCAGCTAATTCAGGAGACTTAAATACTTTTTGTGTACCAGTTGTTTTACTGTGCTCAATCTCTCCTAATCTCTACTCTTCTTTGTTATTCTATTTTTCTACTCTCTTCTGCAGTATTCTCTATACTATTCTTTTCCTATCTCCCCAATTCTCTACTCTTCTTTGTCATTCCCTTATACTAATCTCTCCTTTTCCACTATTTTCCCTTTCCATTTGCAACTCCCAACTCATTGATGTTTGAGAAAGATCCTGCTTTAGTTGCTTATTTTGATTCTTTAGCTCCCCTGAGCCCAATTTGAGCCAATAAGCTTTTGTAATTGAGTTTCGTTTGTTGATCAGTGTCTGACTATCTTTCGTCTATCTATTTTTCATGCTTTAATCTCCTTTGAAAACACACTGGAAAAAAATTGCATCCTTGCATAAAGAAAGTTAAAGTTTCAAAGGAAGGATCAGGTCTCACTCCAAGGGTAGATGATAAATAGTAAAATAGGAGGGGGCACTGGAGAAAAATAGGCCAGAAAAGAAAAAAAACCTAAAGGCTTTCTTGTTGAGCATTGTAGCCCTTGGTCCACTTGTTCCTTTTTATATTATGTAATAGACTTTTCACCCTCAAATTCCTACATTTACAGAAGGCTTGGTTTAGATGATGATGAAGAAGAGGAAGAAGCCTTTGTTGAAGAGGATGAGGAAGGAGGGGGAATGGACTCGGATGATGAGGGTTCAAAGGAGAAGTCCCTAACCGACCAGAAAATCATTGAGGAAAGGACAGCCATGTTGATTGCCTACTTCTTCTTTTCCATGGTTTGGTCGATCGGAGGTACACTGGACGCCAACTCGCGCACCAAGTTTGATGAATTTTTCAAGGGACTCTGCGATATGGATGGCACCACTTCCAAATATCCAAGGTGATTTTTTTCTTGCTCATTGAATTTTATCAGATTAAAAGTATTTTAAATAAGTATTTTTAAATGATCAGCAAACTTCTTTAAATGAAGTAAATGAATGAAAGACTTATAATTATTATGTTATTTCTTAAGGCTGCTGATTTTTTGTTGAAATCATGTAATAACATAACAGACCACAAGCAAATGCTTTAATGCATTCCTTTCTTACAGTTAGAATGGTGCTTGAACTCTCACTCTTTCATTTCAGTTTGTGTATTATTTGCCAGACCTCTTTTTCAACAGCACTGTATTTTATAATCTGTTATTATTTCACATTATGTGCACAAATACTATTGCATAGTATATTTATGTTTTCACCAGCAACAGAATTTGAACTCATACGTATATATAACATATACGAGAGAAATCTGGGAAATTTTAGTTGTTTAAATTGCATTGATGTAAAAATAGTTTGAGATTAATTTTTGCTATAGCATACACAGCAGTTTCCCAGAATGCTAAGCTTTGTTGATTTTAATTGTGACATCATATCCTAAATGAATATTTCAATAGGGTTGGAAAGAGGATAGAGAAGTAAGTATGTAAGCATGACATTGATTGGTCCATCCAGGTCATGTGACTGGTGGGTTGGGCCTTCATTTCATGTGACTTGAGATTGTGATGAAAATTAGGATAGGCTTTGCACCTTACTAACCAAACAATTGACAAACTATGTAAGTGACATAAAATGAGATGTGATTGGTCCTTATAAACTGTCCATGACCTGATTATTATGCATAAATTTTTTTCCTACCATTTTTCATTCAAATTTTCCAAGTGTAAAAGTTACGATAAAACTTGGAAAATTTGAATGTTTATTATTTCAGCATGCATGTGTTCCCATCAAACACTCCTCCCATATTTTTACTGTATAATTCACAAAATCATAACAGCATGAATATCCCCTAGCGACCCCCTGTCCCCTCCTCATGGATACTACCATACCATCTATTGATATATTCTCTATGGGCAGTGGTTTAATGTCATTGGCATTGGTTTTGGATAAATGTGTTATTTGGGCTTTGGTTTAAGTAATTTATAATTAATCAGAAACACAATTTTCTTTGGAAAGAAAAGGTGTTGGTTAATTTTGCAGCATGGTTCATACATGATTCTTTTTTATGTTATTTTTAAATTATATCCTAGCTGGCTTCAGAGTAACCATGATTGTGTTGAAATTATTACTAGTCAAATTAAAATCCTGATAATATTTAAGTTGGGTCTTGGAGGAAAAGTTTATGAATAACCTCTTAGTTAATTATTTTGTGTGTTTAGCTATAGTGACATCAATTTTATTCTTCCCAGTAGTATAATGTGTTGTGTGTGTTAACTAAAAACCAGCTGAATCTAAAACTTTCATCTTATTTGTAATGTAAAAATATTTTAGTTATTTATTCATTAAACATTTTCATCCGATTCCAGTATTTTTATTCACTGGCATGTAGTAATTTATATGTGTTTCTGTCTATTTTTCTGAACGTTTTCAGTTTATGTGTATTCAGTTTTAGTCCTCTCAGATAAGGACTTTCAACATAATTTATATAGCTAGCGGATCCAATGGAAATTTGCAATTACAGTGGAGCAATTCTTCACAGATAAATTCACCCTGTGTATTTATAATTATCTTTTCTTGATTTTGATCATGAGCTTCTCAATTCTTGCACAATGATAGAGAATGAATTCATTTATTTGTGCTCTTTTGTATTCTAGTCATTGTTGAATGGAGCTTGTGATGATCAGCTCTCTTTGTTTTTTAAAATCTTCATCCAAAATATTTTTTCCCTATTTCCGGCTTATATAACTCTAACTTGTTGAATTTATAATTATCATAATGAAACAAATACAACAAGAATACAAAAGAAACACAATTCAACTACATGCAGAGGATTTCAAAGGAAGTGGGTAACATTTTGTTTTTGCAGACCCAAAGATCTGAAATTTGCCAACAACCTGAAGATGCCTAAGAATGGATCTGTGTACGACTTTGTCTACCTGAGGAAGCAGTATGGGTCGTGGTACAAGTGGACCAATCTGATAACACCACTCAACATCGACGAAAAAGCCAAGGTAATTAATTACGTAAATGCAGTCAAGGGACAAAACTCTGGTTGTCAATGATGATACATAACATTTTTTTGGCATATTAATTCTCACTTTAACATTTTTTCACTGTTGTTTAACAAATTTCTAACATGCATAAGAACTGTAATAAATTCAGAATAAAGGTTATGACCTGGATCCTTTTAATTAGGAATGATAGGACTATTTGTCCTTAAAAAGGGATAATGTAAATTATTTTAACAAGACCACTCCACGTAACATGTGTTAGTCATCATTTTGAAACGGCAACTCTTACAAATGATAAATAAAGGTATTAAAGGTCAGTAGACGTGGGTAGAAAGTAAAAGACCTCTAAGTAATTTAATTTTTGAAGTCATTTTATTAAAGGCTTTATATGCACTGTGACTTTAGAAAAGTGCATAAAATGTGTTGATATCTGTGCATTATGTATAAAATAATAAATATAGGTCTATTAAAGTAGATTATTTTTTTATTTACCTTGAAAGTTTCTGCAGTGTTGCTTGGGTTTTGGTTTTTATATTCACATTTTTGCATTTTTTTCCATTTAAGTGTTTCCAGCTTTTCTAGATTGGCTTTTACCCCAAGATATATTTTACCCTTTCATGAAACAAATTAATTGGAATGAAAAGTTTACTGAAAATATTTTACACATTCATGAAAATGATTGGAATTAAAAGTTTATTAAAAACAGTTTATATATAAATATATAAATCCAGAGATCAGAGAATAATAGATTGTGTTTCATTTCACAGGAAGTAAAGGTAACCAAGGAAACATGCATGCAAATAAATAAAAGTAGTTCTATATGTATTAGCTTCCTCTTTTTCTCTAGTTGAAACATTTTGATATTATATTTCAGTACATTATATGCATGTTTAATGATATAGCATATTTACCCAATTAGATGAGGTAATGATGAGAAAAAAAAATTGTCATGTATTAGAGTAATTTAAATATAATGCCATTAATTAATTGGATACCAAAATTACAACCATAACTTCTATTTCAACAAAATCCTAGGTAATACTTTAGATGATATAGCATGAAAACAAAGTCTAGTTTAAGCTTATTTTCTACAAAAAAGATTAAAGAATTTGAAATATTAATTGCTGTGCAGTGACTTAATTTATAATACACTTTGGAATTTCTGATATTCAAAACAATAAATAGCAAAGACCCCAGTCTGCAACCACTCAGGATTTGGTAAGATGTGTAATATATGGTACATGTTAAACATATAAAGTGTCAAATATACACACACCAATGACCAGCATTTGTACATTCTGTTGTCAAGTATTGAATATAATAGACACTTTGAATCATGATTTTTAGACAGAAGTTGTACCTTATGATATTGCAAGAACACGGTCTTAATTATTAGAGGAATAATAGCTGTTTGGATTGTTTAGACTGCACTTGTAGCTTTACTTATATTTTAAACTCATTTATAATTTCCTGAAAAGTAAACACTCTCTCCTATGATATGAAGTTAAACTTTTGCATGCATGCATGCAATATTTGCATGAACCCAGTAGTGTGTATAATAATTACTGCATGCAGGACTGAAAACTTTGCATGCTCAACTCTAAACTGTATGCATGTTCTATCAGTAAAGATTTTCTGCAAATATGACAAACACATCCTTGTAGCAAATAGAATATTTATTACTTAATTGTATAAATTTAACCTCATTTACATTTTGAAATTAATCATGATATTAAACTTCTCCCACCATTTTTCTGCTGTTAGAGCATTTCCACAATTACCGTAGATATTTCCCTGCAAATTTTCACTCCCAGTAGGTACATAGCTTGATAAATAGAAAAAAATTCCATGCAGTTGATTAAGCATACTTTTTACTCAAATTTAGATCTAGCTTTGTAGAACATCTATATTCATTTTATGATATTTTTTTTTAATTTTGATAAGATTTTAATTTTTTAAAATTTTCACATTTAATATTTTATTTCATTGGTCCACAAATTGTTTAGATGTGTGCTTATGAAAAAGAAAATTTCAATTTTTCTCCCTGAAATTTTGTCATTGATGATAATTTTTTACCCATATACCTCACAGTTTGATAATTTTGTGTTTGTGTGTGTGTTTTGCATTTAACCTTGACTAATATTCTCTTTCATTCATTCACTGTTTAATTAATGGTGTTGGCAGAAAGACAGAGATCTACGCATCATGGTAAGCACAGGGGCGGATCCAACTTATTTTCTTATGTAAACTGTAAATATATTCAAATTAATATCTTATCATGAGTATCTTAATTTTATGATTCTATGATTTTTTTAAAACCTTTTGTTACGTAATATATAAGTTTTTATTCACGTTTGCAGTGTGCATTTCAAGACCGAGTCGCAAGGTCAAAACAGCAACAATTTAGTTATTGAAAAACTTTTGCATGCATTAACATGCTTAAGTTACCATAAAGACAGATCAGTGCATGAAAAGTTTAACAAATTTTGGAAAATTTAAATATGATGAGCAGAAGATTTATTAGAAGAAGTTTCAATAAGTCAATATTGCACTTAGATATAACAATGATAGAATTTCTTAAAATTGCTTTCAAGAATAGGATGCAATTCATGTATATTTATAGGCAGTTGTAGGCATTTGATTTGTTTGGATGTCTTGTATATATATTGTATAGCTGTCCTCATATACGGTTATTGTTTTTCCTTATATGTAGTATGATGACTGTGCTCGTTTTTTATAATTTCCCCTTTGCTCATCAAACAGATTAATGAGTTAATAATTAACACGGTGGAGACAGAGAGACAGAAATATTTCCTGGAACGTTTCCTGATGCAGGACAAACCACTGCTGTTTGTGGGACCCACAGGTACTGGAAAGTCGGCCATCACCAACAGCTATCTTCTCCAGCTTCCGAAGGACAAGTATATCATCAGCAATATTAACTTCTCAGCTCAGACATCAGCCAATCAAACACAAGATATCATCTTCTCCAAGCTTGATAGGTCAGAATTTATAAATATTTTTTATTTGTTTTTAATCTAGAAATTTGCCAAGTAGAGTATTAATTAATTGTTTCAGATTTTGAAAAGATATTTGAAGAAATTTTGGAAAGAATATAAAATAATGCTATAGATATTTTAATGTTCATTATCCCTATGTTCTTTCGTATAAAATGTCGCTATAAGTTTGATTTTTCTAAAGAAATATGATTTATAATTAAAGTCTCTTGATTTCAATGTGTGCATTGTGGGAGAAATTTTGACAGAAAACTTTAAGGCTTTTTGACAATAAAGGAATATAAACCATTTATGCCAGTGAAAGTTATCTCTCTTAACAGAGGGTCAATAAACCATAAGGGAAAATAAAAATTTAATGTGTAATAAAAAAATTTTGATCCACAGAAAAAATTAAATAAAATTTCTTTTACTGTTGATTTACAGAAGGAAAAAGGGTGTGTATGGTCCAACCCTAGGAAAGAAACTCATGGTCTTTGTGGATGATCTGAACATGCCAGCCAAAGAAAAATATGGAGCCCAGCCCCCCATAGAAATCCTCAGACAGTGGATAGATCAGGGCTACTGGTTTGATAGGAAGGACACCAGCATACTGGAGTTAGTGGACATTGTTATGGTCTCCGCAATGGGGCCGCCAGGTGGTGGCAGAAACAATGTGACACCACGGTTCTTGAGACATTTTAACATCATTGGCATCGAGTCGTTTGATGAGGACACTATGAAAAATATATTCTCTCCTATAATTGAATGGCATTTCAGAACTTTTGAAAATTCTTTAAGGAAATTTTCAAGGGTGAGTGTTTTGTAAATTGTCATGTAAAAATCCAATAGCTGGGTATTTTTTTACATTAATAATTCAGCTGTACTGTAATATTTTGTCCCATTGTTTTTGAAAGTTTCTTCATTAAAGGAATGGAACTTGGCAGGACTATTATTAGACATGTTTGTATGTGCAGTTCTTATATGTTTTTGTATGTTGCAAAATAGTGTGGGAAAGTAAATGTACCAGTTCTATTTGGAGTTTCAGTAGTCCAGATTGTAGAATGTTACGAAATCCTTGATTTTTGAACTTCATGTGTCCAATGTATTTACTTCTATCTGTAGATAATTCTGAGCAGTACATTGGAGATTTACAACAATGCCATAGCTAACTTCCTGCCCACACCCTCCAGGTCACATTATGTATTCAACCTCCGAGATTTCTCTCGTGTTGTTCAGGTGAGTATAGTTCCGTTTTCACTTGTAATCAGTCAGCTATATTTGTAGTAGATATTTCCCTGCCCATTGGAAATTGAGTTTTAACTTTCAGTAATTAGCCAAGTGTAAGCAACTCTTCATTTATTTATCAGATGGGCAAACCAATATGCAATTTATTAATTTGATCATGGGTAAAGTCTCTGATATTAAAGATTTATTCAGTTTCTTATATACATTATTAAATGCAATGTATGGTGCTATTCTACAGGGGGTCCTGCTACTGAAGCTGGGGGTGGTGTCGGAGGGTAGTCTAGAGAACGGACAGAAGATTGTGAGGCTGTGGGTACATGAGGTCTACAGAGTGTTTTATGACAGACTCATCAATGAAGAGGACAGGGAAATGTTCTTCAAAATGGTCAAAGTAAGTCAGCTTGACATTGTGTATAGTTTTACTGCAGATTTTTGACACAAGTAATTTAGTACAAATGCAGCGGGAAACAATTTTCTTCCAGTCTTAAGAATCAGCCAAAACTGTTTTGCTTTTAACTGTAAACAGTGTTAATTTTGCCTTATCACACTTCCATTTTAAATTTTCCAGGACCGAGTTGTGTTAAAATGGAGATAACTCTGTCTTGGTTGAATTAACTAACAAAGAGGGTGAAAATAAAATCGGGACGAAAACTTCCCTGTACATGTATACATTATGTTGACCTTTCTGAAATAAGTCTGTAGTTCTAATTTCATCCGTTGAAGATAGGAGAAAACAGAACAGAAAAAAAATCTGGGGGCAAAACTTTAAATGTACATTAATTATAATTTTATGACCATGTTGTTTTTAATGACAGGCATGTGTTGAGAGCCAGTTCAAGGAGAAGATAAACACACTATTCTCACACATCATGACTGACTCGTCTAAAGGAGTCACTGATGATGATATCAGAAGTCTGATGTTTGGAGATTATCTGTCAAAGGGCAAGGAGGAGAAATATTATGATGAAATACTCAACCTCAGTGACCTCAAAGAGGTAAGGGTTCATAGGTCAAAGGTTTGAAAAATACAGGGTAATTTTGATAACAAAGAACCAGAAAAGAATTTTAGAATATTACTATAAACCAACTATTAACTATGACAACTTTTATTTACTATTAATTTTTCACAACTGAGAAAATGATCTACGTAAATTAAAAAAAAAGTTTTTGACAAGAAATATATTTATCAAACGCAAATGAAAGTTGCATGGTTTACAGTATAGTACATAGTATACACAGTCTGGTATTGGTGAAAAATATGAGTTGTACAGTATAGAAAATTTGTTACAGCTAGTTGTAAAATGCTCAGCACTTTTAAGAGTTTTAATGTACATGTATTTGATTAAATATGTTCCATTTGATCTAATGCGAATATGCAATGGAAATGTGAATAAAAGTATTCATTTTAAATGTGAACAAAGAGATGCATGTTTTTTGGTGATTGAATATTTTATTAGCATTTCTTCTACATGCCTGAATATGATATTTCAATATTTTTCAGGCCATTGAAATGTACTTAGAGGAGTACAACATGATGTTTAAGGCTCCTATGAATCTAGTCATGTTCAGATTTGCCATAGAACACATCTCCCGAATCAGCCGAGTTCTCAAGCAGCCCAGTGGTCACTGTCTACTTGTTGGTCAGTCATGATGTTTGATCTGCAAAAAATACCAAAAATTAATGTTTGATCTAGTACACTTGTATAAACAAAAAAAAAAATTGAAACATGAATGATAATTTATTTTTGGGTATAAAATGAAGTTGCTACAATTTTGAGAAATCTTATATCAATTGTGTTTCTTAAAAATGACATTCCCTTTGTCAATTTCAAGTCATGCATTATGGATGTTAAATGGTAAATGCCACCACTCAAATCGCAAAATACAAATGTTTGGCTCAAAGAAACCTTCTTTTTTTTTTGTGCTTGAATAGGTATCGGAGGTAGTGGAAGGCAGAGTTCTTCACGGTTGGCTGCTTTCATGTCCGACTTTGAACTTTTCCAAATTGAAATCACCAAAAACTACACCACCTCAGAATGGAGAGAGGACCTCCGACGCCTCATGAGGCGAGCAGGAGACGAGGGTACCTCCATGGTCTTCCTGTTTGGGGATCACCAGATTAAAGTAAGAAAACCAGTTTATCTGACTGTTTGACCAAAATCTCAAGAATATAATGTCAAACTTGTAATATTTAATCCTGTTAATGGTTGATTATTTCTTGTAATATTTAACATGCAGGAAATGGTAATTTTGTAAACCTGGAGATAATCGATTCTCAGTTATACAATTCATTTTCCGAGCATGGTCACTTGTTTAATAAACAGGAATTGCAATGGAAAAATAAATTTCTTGTGCTTGGGAATATGAACACAAAAAAACTTCTCTTATCCTTTATATATGTATGTTGATGATATTAAGTTATATACTTGAGATTTTGCTTTAGGACGAGTCCTTCCTGGAGGACATCAACATGATACTGAACACAGGAGACATACCTAACCTGTATGACAATGAAGAAAGACTGGAAATTATTGAAAAGGTATGCCTTGAAGGAATGTAATAAAGTGATGGGTTTTCATTTCATTCACATTAATGAAGTAATTTTAAGCCTTTAATTTGATGCAAAAATGTTTGAGCTAGCATTTCAATTAATGTTCCTTGTCTAGAAAGTCTAACTCATCAAAATTGGTCAATACATGTAGTTTCTGAAGGCCATAATTTTCACCTGTGTATGTTTTATTTGAACTATTTATTTGAACTATAGATGCAACAGTTGGCGCTGCAGCAGAATTTACAGATTGAGATGACGCCACTAAACATGTACAACATGTTTATTGAGCGGATCCGACGTAACCTTCACGTGGTCCTGGCCTTCAGTCCTATAGGAGATAACTTCAGGAACAGGATTAGGATGTTTCCCTCCCTCATCAACTGCTGTACTATTGACTGGTTCAAGGTAGAATTCTGAGAGGAATAAAGCTTTACGTTTCATTATATTTTTCATTGAAAAAGAGTTAAATATACATGTACAAGTTTCTGCAAGTATAAAAACTTGCAAAGGAAAATTAGCTTTCATTCAGATAAGTTGAACTATTGTATCTCAAGTATCAATATCTCAAATAGCATCTATATATTGAAGTGCCTTGGAAGTCTCAATCACATTTTCTCTACGTATGTGTATTTAACCTCTTTATCTTGAATTTTTGGATACATGGAAGTATTAAGTTGATTGTATTTAATTAACTCTGATGACTTAATGTTGAAAATAAATCTAGAATTGGTTCTGTTTTAGCCTTGGCCAGAGGATGCCTTGGAGCTGGTGGCCAACAAGTTCCTGGAGGATGTGGAGATGTCAGATGAAGTGAGGACACAGACAATCTTCATGTGTAAACATTTCCATCAGAGTGTTAGAATGCTCTCAGACAGGTGAGGAGCTGGAGAATTCTAGTACTGTAGGTCTGGAACAAGGCGAGTTACTACTGTTCAGCACTGTACTGGTCAGTAATGGGGGAAGAAAGTACTGTAGTCAGTAATAGGAAAAGTAGATACTGTAGGACTAACAAATGTAGTCAGTAGCAGGGGAAGTAACTACTATAAATCAGTAACAAGGGGAGTAACTTCTGTGTGTCTGTAACAAGGAAAATAACTTGTAAATCAATACATCTGGATTGTTCAAGGGAGATAATCACCATATATTAGTAAGCAGGTAGATAAGAGAACAACAACTATGTAAATCATATGAAGAATTGTCACAAAAAGTTTTGAGAGAACAAGTTAATTCCAATTTATATAAATTTCTTAGTAAACAGTATAATATATATGTAAATCATTGCTAACTATTTGCAGGTATTACGAAACAATGAGGCGACGAAATTATGTCACCCCCACGTCGTACCTAGAACTGATCAAAACCTTCAAAAGCCTGCTAGATCAGAAAAGAATGGAGATTCTGACCCTGAAGAATCGCTATATAGTGGGATTAGAGAAGCTAGAGTTCTCAGAGAATCAGGTAAGTAATTGCTACATAATGGGACTGGAGAAGTTAGAGTTCTCAGAGAATCAGGTAAGAATTGCTACATAGTGGGACTGGAGAAGCTAGAGTTCTCAGAGAATCAGGTAAGAATTACTACGTAGTGGGATTGGAGAAGCTAGAGTTCTCAGAGAATCAGGTAAGAATTGCTACATAGTGGGATTGGAGAAATTAAAGTTCTCAGAGATTCAAGTAAGAATCACTACGTAGTGGGATTGGAGAAGCTAGAGTTCTCAGAGAATCAGGGAAGAATTGCTACATAGTGGGACTGGAGAAGCTAGAGTTCTCAGAGAATCAGGTAAGAATTACTACGTAGTGGAGTTCTCAGATGATTCAGGTTACAATGAACTACAAATTAGAGGTAAAAAAATAACAAAATATGGATGGTGATGGAATTCTTATTTCTAGTGCTATTCATCTACAGATCTAACAGTGGTCAATGATTTTGCATTGTAATGATAATAAAACTACCACATGCTTTTGAACTAGTTACATAGTTTTCAGGATAATCTTTGTCAAGGTGTATGTTTTTAAATCTTATTTGATTTTTTACTGCTCTTTAAAGTATGTTTTAGTAAAAAAAAAAATTTTTGACCTATTTGACTGATTTTTCTGATGTATTTTATTTAGGTCAGTGTCATGCAGCAGGAATTGGTCGAACTTCGGCCCAAACTGGTGATGACAAGCAAGGAGACAGCGGAGCTTATAGAATTCATCAGTAAAGAGAGTGTAGAAGTGGAGGCCGTGAAAAAGGTCGTAGAGGCAGACGAAGTGGTGGCCAACAAGGCAGCCATGGAGGCCAAGGCCATCAAGGTAGGTCAAGGTCACTATGAATAAAAAAATAATTAAGGTTCATCATCTATCGGTCCACTCATATAAAATTTTGGTTTAATGATGATGATTTTTCAAAAGAATATTTTTGAAAGTTGAACGAATTCAACATGTTCCTGCAGTTTAGACAGTAGTTAATAAATAAAAAATAATTCCAATTTTTCTTAAAAGTAATTAGAATATTGAATAAAAATTCCTTTTTCCATTAGAACAGAAAGTGACAACTACGTGTTTATAGAGGACTCGGATTACATGAACAAGAAATAGAACTGAAGTATAACATAGTTTTTTTCTTTCTATAGGATGAGTGTGAAGCCAAACTGGCAATAGCCATGCCGGCCCTGAATGCTGCCATTTCTGCCCTCGACACTCTGAAACAGAACGATATCTCTCTAGTCAAGGCCATGGCCAACCCCCCTAATGGAGTCAAACTTGTCATGGAGTCTGTCTGCATCATGAAGGTTTGTGTTGATTCAGAAAAGCTGATCACTATGAACTATTTATATAAGTCAGAGGAAGTTTAATGAAATATAGAACTAAACTGTTATATAAGTTCATTCGCAGAATAAATAATTGGAAGGTAATTCCACTGTATGTTCAAGTGAACACTAAAAATTGATCATTAATTTTGAAACTTAAAATAAGTTAAATACTCGTTTTAAAATTTATATTCGAATTTCAGGGAATCAAGCCGGACAATAAAGTGGACGCCACAGGTCGGAAGGTTGAGGATTATTGGCCTGCAGCCAAAAGAGTATGTTTCCATGCCTTTTAAGGACATGTAAAATAAAATGTTTGAATTGCTACATGTATGTACAATACTTTCTCATTAGGTAGAAAAATTAAATGAACTGAAACATTTTGCAGATGTTGGGAGACCTCAAGTTTCTGGATTCTCTAAAGGAGTATGACAAAGATAACATCCCAGTACCAGTGATGAAGAAAATCCGAGACAAGTACATAAGCAATCCGGATTTTGAACCCAGTCTCATCCGGAATGTGTCGTCAGCCTGTGAGGGTCTTTGTAAATGGATCAGGGCCATGGATGTGTACGATAGTGTTATTAAGGTTAGTCACATGGATTTTTTTCATGGTCGTTATTAAGAAGGAGTCAAGGTAAAGGTGTTTTGTAAGGGGATGAAATTCTTAGAACATTTGGTGTTGAATGTGTAATATAAAACAAAGATAAAGTAAATCGATGGAGATGTGTTAAAAAAAGTTTCTGAACAGGAAATACGATAATTATATAAAAGTTAGAAAATTTCTAAATATGATTGAATAGGTGGTTGGACCTAAGCGTAGAAGTTTGGAAGAGGCAGAAGCAGTACTTGCTACTCAGATGGCAAAACTTCACGAAAAGCAGGCTGAACTACAGGCAATCACTGACAAGTTGGATGGACTCAAAGATCAACTCAAAACAAAGGAGGAAGAGAAAGTGGTAAGACATTTAATTGTATTTAAATTTTAATTTGAACCTCCCTTTTCTCCTGAGATTTGTTCAAATACATATATCAGTCAATAAGCCAAGCTTTCCATGTTAACAAAGTTCTATGTTAGCAAATTGAAGGGGGATTGAAAGGGGGGGGGGGGTCAATAGTGGTTTAAAATTAATCAATAAGTCTGATATTTTATAATTATATACAGTCAAACCTGTATTAAGAGACCTTCCAACGGAGAAAGGAAAAAAGGTCACATATGACAGGTGGTCTCTTAATACAGGTTGCTTATTTTCAGCAGTGTTCAAATATACACAATGCTGAAAATATTACATGACTTTTGTGTATGTGGAATGTATTTTATAGGTACTGCTCAACTCTAAATGCTTTTATATTATAGGTACAATTGTCCTGTTCAATAATAAAATTTGCTTGATCTGCACATGAGTAATTCGATTATTGGGAAATATTATGAACATCTGAAAATATTAAATGTTTTATACGGTATAAAAAAGCTGCAAAGATTTTTTCTAATAATATTTTTTTTTTGTTTTACATGATAGCCTATATATATAGCTTTGTATGTTTTGCAAATTACTAAGAATTAAAACTGTATCATGATTTTTGTTATGGACTTGGTAACAAATTAAATTATATTTATGACTTAAAATTTATTTAACCTAATTTTTTTTTTTCATTACTGAACTACCCCGTCTAATTGCCTGTTTGTCACCTACTTCAATCACTTCAATTATCACCTGGTATGGGTGCTAGCTAGCGTGTGTTTACTTACCCCGTTGGTGACACAATTCACTTAAATAAACATCTAGGATTTAGTTACTTGTTAATTAAAAGTTAAAAAGGCAGGTTTTATAGCTGAATATCCATTTGGCCCTTATACCACGAAATGATATCGGGATCGACCTCGAACGTCTATTTTCAAAATGGCACTCGATCATTGGAGAGAAAAAACGTGAATGTTTATGTATTAGATTTTAATGTTTATTCAATAGATATCAAAACGTAAGTAAAAATATTTATTTTGAAATGTTGTTTTATTCCTAAAACTCGCATTATATAATTATTAAATGAAATAAACGCGTGTCTGTACATATTTTGAACCAAAAAAAATAGCATGCTCGACCGAAATCGAAAGTAGGAATCGGAAATTATGTAGTCGTTAAATCCAGGTAAAATTGCCTGAAATTACAAAAATTGTCAGGAAAATCACGGTCGCTGGTCGCGTTAGACAGGTGGTCGTTTAATACAGGTATAATATATAGGGAAAAGCGTTGGGAGGAATTCTTACGGTCACATATGACAGTGAGTCGCTTAATACAGTGGGTCGCTATGGCAGTTTTAACTGTATCTCTTTCAGAATTTGGAAGAAAATATTGAACTGACTATTGTTAAGATAGAGAGAGCAGAGAAGCTGATTAGTGGACTGGGAGGAGAGAAAGAAAGATGGACAAATGTAAGTACATGTATTATAAAGATTTATATCCCATGCTGGAATTAGTTTTGGCTAAGGTAGCTTAAGAATCATTACATAGGATTTGACATGTTTTGCAAAGGGAACATCTTACTTAGCCTTGATGCTTTCATTCTAAACTCTAGGATTATCAGATGCAGTTTGTCTAAGTCGGAGAAAGTAATGATGCTATCATTTACATGTATATATAATGTGGGCAGAGTATTAATATTGAACCCCATTCCATTACCCTAAAGTTACTAAATAGAAAATATGTGACATTGATTTTATTTAACAAAAAAAAAAAGCAGCTGTTTTAATTCCTTCCCTATCTTTGCTATTGAATCCAGAATGTTGACGAATTAAATGAGACCTATGATAACATCGTTGGCGATGTCCTTCTGTCAGCAAGTGTGGTGGCCTACTTGGGGCCCTTCATTCTGGACTATCGCCAGGAATGTCTGAAGGAATGGTACGGCATGTGTGCGGAACGGAACATCCCACTGTCTGAACACTTCTCCCTGTACACGACTCTCGGGGACCCTGTCAAAATACGGGACTGGCAGATCGCTGGACTTCCTGTTGACAAGTAAGTGACTCATGGGAACCCTGTCAAAATTTGGGAATGGAATGCCTGTTGACATGTATTATTTTTATACCCCCCCCCCCCCGCTTGAAAAGTGGGAGGGTATATAGTGATTGGGATGTCCATCTGTCCATTCGTACATCCGTCTGTCTGTACGTGTGTCCGTCTGTTACGCTTTGGGGTACCCTTCTCTTATCTGCAACTCCTCTTTTACCACTGAATGAAATTTAATGAGACTTTCACAGAATCTTTGTTACATAGTGCCATTGTGCACCTCTTATTTTACTTTTTAATCTTGCACATATTTTGGTTTTGCTAGAGCAAAATATGGACGCAGCCATTCTTTCTATAATACTGAAGGATACCCATCTCTTATACGCAACTCCTCCTATACCACTGAATATGATATGAATATGATACTTTCACAGACTCTTTATTACATAATGCCATTGTGCACCTCCTATTTTAACTGTTTGATATGACACTTATTTCAGGTCTCCAAGAGCAAAACATGCACTTTGCCATTATAACCTTATGAGAGGCGGGGGAGGGAGGGGGGTATCGTTTAGTGGGCTCATTGCCAGTACCTCTAGATTTTATTAAAATTATGTGAATTTTGAAAGTAGAAGAAGTTTGTGACTCCCACAGGTTTTAACGTGTAATTCATTAATATTAACCTGAATTGTCTAGATGATGATTAATCTGTTGGTTGAATATGCATAGGACCTTTATTTCAAAGAACATTGAAGAGATAAAAAGAGGGAGAGGACTTAATGTTGTTGGTCTGTCTGTTTTATTGGTTTTCCTAAAACCCAAACTTAGTCTTATATTGAAACTACATTAATAAAAAGCTTTTTAGCACAGTTAAAAGACACCGCTGGGCTGTTTTAAAGAAATTCCCTTGGTCTGCTTTTAAGACTATGCTGCCATTTTTATATGACGTCCATATATGATGTATGTGTTGTTGTTTATAGCTACTCTGTGGAGAATGCCATCATTGTTATGAGTGCTAACCGGTGGCCCCTGATGATTGACCCTCAGGGTCAGGCCAATAAGTGGGTCAAGAACATGGAGAAGATGAACAAGCTGGAGGTGGTCAAGATGTCCGACGTCAACTTCAGCAGGAACCTGGAAAACTGCATACAGGTATTGAGAAAATAGGAATTCTAGGATAGAATTTTAATTTGTACGGTATTCAACACAGAAACGTACTTTCAAGTACATGTATGAGGTAATTTTTGCACAAAAAATATTTCTAGTTGTAATATATTAACTTCACTGTCATCAAGTCAAAGGTTAAAGTTACATACATTAGTTCTGTACATTGATTTCATTCACCTTTAGGTCAAAAGTTTTAAGATAGTAATCTAAAGTACTTGTACATGTACTTTGAGAATTTCCCTAAAAAAAAAAAGTACCAACATTCAGTAAGAAGAAATACTACTAAACAAACAGAAAAAAATAAACCCACTTTGCTCTTAAATTACTATCTTGCCCTCAGTTTGGTAATCCCTGTTTGCTGGAAAATGTGGGAGAGGAGTTGGATCCCATTCTGGAACCGATTCTGTTGAAACAGACATTTAAACAGGTCAGTAGATGTACACATTTTTTGCTGTATTTGAAGAAGGATTTTACAAATTTGTGCTCAATTCATATTGAAAACATCTAAATTTAGTCGGACGTCTTGGATTGATTGTATTTATGAATGTTCTAGACTGAGGTATTTTTGAATTTTGCAGAATAACATGGAATACATCCGAGTGGGAGACCATATCATTGAGTACAGTAAGGACTTCAAGCTGTACATCACCACACGACTCAGAAACCCTCATTACCTCCCGGAGGTCTCTGTCAAGGTTAGTTGTGCATGTTCTGTTTAAATACTACATGTAAGGTTCAGGTTAAGACCCAGATAATTTCATAACGTTTTATCAGAAGGAAAATGTGTTGAGATTTCTTTCTAATCTCTGTGAAGTACATTAAAGTACATTGTTCAAAGTAAAGGAAGGTAGTTGAATATGTACAGTGAAACCTGTTTGATTTGACATGAACTTGGAGAAGAATTTGGTGTCGGAATAGACAGGGTGTCAGATTACACAGTATAAAAAACATGGAAAGTAGTAAATGGGAATGAAGTTTAGGGTCATAATTCACAGTAAAACGAATTGCACAGGTGTCAGGTTAGACAGAAGTCACTGTATATCTGGTCTGGTTACAGGTGACTCTGCTAAATTTTATGATTACATTACTGGGTCTTGAGGACCAGTTGTTGGGGGATTGTTTTGGTATATGTATATTTGGTATTCCTTAGGTGACCCTGCTGAATTTTATGATTACTGGGTCTTGAGGACCAGTTGTTGGGGGATTGTTTTGGTATATGTATATTTGATATTCCTTAGGTGACTCTGCTGAATTTTATGATTACATTACTGGGTCTTGAGGACCAGTTGTTGGGGGATTGTTTTGGTATATGTATATTTGGTATTCCTTAGGTGACCCTGCTGAATTTTATGATTACAGTACTGGGTCTTGAGGACCAGTTGTTGGGGGATTGTTTTGGTATATGTATATTTGGTATTCCTTAGGTGACTCTGCTGAATTTTATGATTACATTACTGGGTCTTGAGGACCAGTTGTTGGGGGATTGTTTTGGTATATGTATATTTGGTATTCCTTAGGTGACCCTGCTGAATTTTATGATTACATTACTGGGTCTTGAGGACCAGTTGTTGGGGGATTGTTTTGGTATATGTATATTTGGTATTCCTTAGGTGACCCTGCTGAATTTTATGATTACCTTGCTGGGTCTTGAGGACCAGTTGTTGGGGGATTGTTTTGGTATATGTATATTTGGTATTCTTTAGGTGACCCTGCTGAATTTTATGATTACATTACTGGGTCTTGAGGACCAGTTGTTGGGGGATTGTTTTGGTATATGTATATTTGGTATTCCTTAGGTGACCCTGCTGAATTTTATGATTACATTACTGGGTCTTGAGGACCAGTTGTTGGGGGATTGTTTTGGTATATGTATATTTGGTATTCCTTAGGTGACCCTGCTGAATTTTATGATTACCTTGCTGGGTCTTGAGGACCAGTTGTTGGGGGATTGTTTTGGTATATGTATATTTAGTATTCCTTAGGTGACCCTGCTGAATTTTATGATTACATTACTGGGTCTTGAGGACCAGTTGTTGGGGGATTGTTTTGGTATATGTATATTTGGTATTCCTTAGGTGACCCTGCTGAATTTTATGATTACATTACTGGGTCTTGAGGACCAGTTGTTGGGGGATTGTTTTGGTATATGTATATTTGGTATTCTTTAGGTGACTCTGCTGAATTTTATGATTACCTTGCTGGGTCTTGAGGACCAGTTGCTGGGAATTGTTGCTGCTAAGGAGAAGCCAGACCTTGAGGAGAGAAAGAACCTGCTGATTATAGAGAGTGCCAGGAACAAACGCCAGCTCAAAGAGATCGAGGACAAAATATTGGAGGTCCTATCTACATCACAGGTAAGACTGACTTCATGTCATTCACTATTTATTATTTACAATTATCTGTAGTATGAAAGAATGCTTGTTCATCCCTTAAATTTTATACAGAACAGATCCAGAATGTTTTCATTTTTTTTTAAGTCTATCATATATTATTGCAGTGTATTAATTTTGTAATTCAGACATCAACATGAAGTATTGCTTCCTCATAATTCATCTTTTTTTTCATAAAACGTTTGCAGGGAAATATTTTGGAGGATGAAACAGCCATAGAAATTTTGTCCTCCAGTAAGATTCTGTCAGAGGAGATATCGGAGAAACAGCTGGTGGCCAGCAAGACAGAGGCAGCCATTGATGATGTCAGAAATGGATATAAACCTGTAAGATTTCGTTGTTTAAGATTCATAATCCTTTTGATCACTTATTTCAGACGTTGCTTTAACACTTATGATATTCCAAAAGAAATGTATTTTATCAGTTAAATGCCAACAATTTTATCATATTAGCTTGCAGGGCAAAATTAAACAAAAAGGACATTTGAACTTGACGGATTTATGAAGGAATAATAAACATTTGTCCATGTCAGAGTTACCTTTCTTATCAGAGAGTCAATGAACCTTAATTAAGGTTCATCATCCCTTTGTTCACCCATAAAATTTTGCTTAATGCCAATAAATTTTTTCCAAAAGAAATCTTTAATTAAAACATGCAAAATTTCAGCATACCTTGCAGGGCAAAATTTGGCAGCAATGTCCTTTTAATTTTACAATTTTATGAAGGAATGAAAGTCATTTATTCCAGTAAGAGTTATCTCTCTTATCAGAGGGTCGAGGGACCTTAAAAAGAATTCATCACAGACCTCATTCTGAGGACCATTTTATACAATATCATGTAAATGGCTAGAATTTGTAGCAAGAAAATATGTTCTCAAGATTTTACAAGATGTATATTCAATACAGATTCCAATATCTTAATGCTATTGTTTATGTTTTAATTTAATTTTTGTTGTGCACTGCATTTACTTTATGTATTGATATTACAGATATATTTATGATGTAATTCTCTTGAGGTCGATCTGTATGACTTTATTTGAAAAAGCACTTAATCTCATAAGACAATAAGACACAGTCTTAGACACAATGTTTTATCAGGTGGCTAAGCATGGCAGTGTGCTGTTCTTTGTGATCTCGGACCTGGCCAACATTGACCCCATGTACCAGTATTCTCTGACCTGGTTCATCAACCTTTATCTACAGGTAAGGTCTTGCCTGTAAAACAGAAATTGCCCTTGACCTTGTTAATTTACCTATCCTTTCAGGTGTGAATGAGGATTCTTTTAATTTTAATGGCATTGGAAAATTTATGCTGTAATAACAAGTAGTTGAACTTTGGTATCTTTAACATTGATATATTAGAGTAAGTTGCAAGTTCCAGCTACTTTTTCTTTATGGATTTTAACCTATCTTGAATCTGCCAGAGTTCAAGGTAATGAGGTTTAACTGTATATTCTTTTAGGAAATGAATTTTCATTGTCATTGCTCCTTTGACACACTTTTTCTTTCATAATTTTATTCACAATTTCCTTCTCAACAGTCCATCATAAACAGTGCGCCATCACAAGATTTGGAGGAGAGGATCCACAACTTAAATGAACACTTTACATACAGCATTTACAAGAATGTCTGCCGCTCATTGTTTGAAAAAGACAAATTGCTCTTCTCCTTCCTGTTATGTATCGGCATCGCAAAGCAAAAGTACGTATAATACATCGAAGTGGGTTTTTGGGGAATGGAGTACGTATGTTTTTGTATCTGTAGGCTCTCTTGATCGTTTGTCAAGGCATTGTCTGAGAAACAGCATTGTGATTTTATTCTGTTCAAGTTTTAAAAATGTTTAAGCACATTATCATGATATAAACTTCACTTGATACGAAGTGGGCATGTCTTGTACATGTAATGTGTCCAAGGTGTTTAGTTTTTTTAATTTTTGTTACGTCACATGTAAATATCACTCGCAAAAGCTGTATATAAAAGGGGAGGGGGGATAAAATACATTTGCTTGTAATTAGCTTGTTTTGGAACTAGAGCAAAATGTGAAACTTTTGCTTTACACAGCAATCTTTTGGACTGGCTCATTCACACTTAAGTCATGTTCCAATAGATTCAGGTTTACATTTAAGAGCTTGTGTTTTTCACTGACCATGATATATCACTGTTTTATTAGCACCATGCCTAATGCCAGGGTCGGGTAAGTGTTTGGAGTCGAGACAATGCCAATGCTTGCACCTTTTGTCTTTTATTTTGTGTCTGTATGAATGAATTTTGAAGTAATGAATTAATTGTGAGACTATAAAATAATTTGTAATAGTGGCATTTTGAATTCTTGATAGGACTGCAAGCTATTTGACAATTTAATCAGTCATCTTTTACTTGAAACTTGATTCAAAGTGTATAATACAGTTTGCAGTATCTATTTTTTTTTTTCAAATCATTCACAATATTCATATTTAAGTCATATTTAAGTAGGGAAAAATGTTTTCAAAAAATGAAGATGAATTCTACTTACAGTTTTAAATAGAAAGGAGGTTATTTATTAAGTTAACTGTCTTTTAAAAGATATTTTAATTGTTTAAAAAATGTTTAGCTTGAAATATTCTTTTTCAAATGCATGGACTGTCAAATTTATAGTCAGAAACCCCCATCTTAATCTTGAAAGAGCTCTCTTGCACCTTGATGACATTTTATCTCGTATTACTCTTTATTTTAGCTTTTAATTATCTCCCCCCTGTGTTGTTTGAAGTGACTACGTGTTTGACTTGTGTTTTTCTGTGATTTACTTATATTACTGTGACAAGAAAACCAAGGTTCTCCTCAAAAGATTCTTTTAAGCACATTTTTCCCCAGGAAATGCACTCTGTTATTCTTTCAGATTTTTTCAAAACTACCGTCTTGAGAAGTCTTTAGTTTAAGAAATATATAGAAATAATTTATAGAAATAAGTATCTTGTTTTGGAAAAACAAAAACAAAAAAAAAGTTGAATAAAAAAGATCAATAAGCTTATGCAAGGTATTGGTATTTGGAAAGTTTCGTTGGTTTCATTTTGTTTTTAAATTTATTTTTTTCAAAAGTTGAATGATTTTAGCACAAAATCTTTTTTTTTAAATTCATAAGATTAAGTAGACAGAAATTCAGATACAAAGGACCTGTTTAGATAATAAGCAAATTCATTTAATATGTAATAGCTAAGAGTCATTCATTATGATTAGAACTATTTTAACCTGCAAAAGGTTTTACAGGAATCCTTTGCATTGTTCAGGTTTTCAGTTACATACTGGTAATACATCTTTGTATGAAAATCTTTCCTGCATGTCTGACTATCAGGTATAGATTCACCATATTTTCCATTATGAATAAGTTTTGGTGACTGTCAGATGACTCTGTTCTTGCATCATTGCAGTGGCGAAATCAACGATCGTGATTGGCGGTTCCTCCTTACAGGGGGATTGGCTTTGGAGAACCCCTTCCCTAACCCAGCTGTTGATTGGCTCCCCGACAAATCCTGGGGTGAGATTGTCAGGGCATCAGATCTGCCTCCCTTCAAAGGATTTATGGACCACTTCCGTAAAAACGTATGCTTTTGTATCTTGCATTTTGAGCAAAATGTATAAATTCATTTTTTTTATCCCCATTCATTGATTTCTTTTAAAATGGATTTTGTTTACCCTACTATATTTTCCATTATCTAGCTGAATGCCTGGAAGAAGATATATGATTCTACAACTCCCCATACTGAGCCCCTAGTGGCCCCATGGAATGAAAATCTAAATAGGTTGGAGGAACTAATAGTGCTCAGATGTCTACGACCTGATAAGGTATGGAAGACTGCTTAAAAGTCACTCAAAGCCTATCTAGGGTAGTGAAAGTTTAATGACATGAAAATGCAGGAATCATTTATTTGGGAAGGGAGGCATGGGATTCAAATGTGTATATATTTTCCAGCTGCCTTCTTGGAGATTAGACATGTATGTTGTTTCAAAGATCTTACGATTAGATGATTGACATTTAATATTTAAAGAAGGCCTGATGTTTTCATACAAAATACTTAAAAACTACTTAATATGTGTAAAACCAATTTTTACCTATTTTGAGATGTTCCCTGACATTTTAAAAAATGTGGTCCCTATTTTGCCTATTTGTAGATGGTCCCTGCTGCTCAGAATTTTATTGTGGAGAGAATGAGTCAGCAGTATATAGAGCCACCGACCTTTGACCTATCGCTGAGCTACGAGGATTCTCAGCATTTCTCTCCCCTTATTTTTGTCCTGTCCCCTGGTGCAGATCCAATGGCTGGTCTGTACAGATTTGCTGAAGAAAAAGGTAGGACACCCTCACACCAGCCCACCTTTTATTTTTGCCCTTGGCCGCATTGTGAAATACATGTATTTGCATTTTTTTTTTTTTTTGCGAAAATCCATTTATATAACATGTATAAGAGCAATCCAAAGTATTTCCATTATATTTTTTTTTACTATGGTATCTACTCAATCCAAAGTATTTCTTATAATTTTTTTTAATAATCAATATGCTTGAGAATGAAACAGATACATTTGAATTTAAAAACTTCTGGCTTTTTAGGTGAATTAGGCCATTGTGTGTGGTTGTAATGTAGAGTTAGGAGAGTGCTTCCTAGTTTAAATGCCAATGATACACAAATAGTTATGTCTTTGAAAAATAATGAATATAAAATAGATATTCAACCCTAGTACCAGTGTTTATTTAGTACATGCATATAACTTGTATTAAACATTTACATGTATTTTGATTAATACATCATCATCTTTATTCCATAAACTTGTGTATTAAATTCAACATCATGCATTTTAACATGTGTCCATTTATCATGTTTTTTACAGTGTTTGGAAAAAAGAAACACCATAAGAAAAAATATTTCTTTCAGATTTTCAAGTTGCGTAACCTTTCAGAAAAGTTCATAACATTATCAAAATCATTACCAAACATTTCATGACTGCACTTATTCTGAAGTTTTCCAAATTTGCTAAATGTCTTCCTGATTAATTTTTAGTAGGGGGTGAGTAGCATTGTGTTGTTTTTAGAGCAGAGTCACATTGCTTACAGAAATCATGTATATATAAAGTAGAGGGAGATGGAATATGCTACGTACATAGAATAGAAAAGTGTCTTGTTATATATGTCGGGTATGTAACATGTTATTGAGTATCATGGTATGTAACATGTTATTGAGTATCATGGTATGTAACATGTTATTGAGTATCATGATATGTAACATGTTACTGAGTATCATGGTATGTAACATGTTATTGAGTATCATGGTATGTAACATGTTATTAAGTATCATGATATGTAACATGTTATTGAGAATCGTATTGTTCCTGTAATTAGGTGTTATTCAGTCTGTTTCTCTGAAGAAAATTTTTAGAGAAGGTTAGTATTGAATAATCTGATTGGTTGTTACAATGTCACATGATTGCTGAAGGAATAAAGTGATTGGTTGTGCAGATCATACTGATGTTTATGAAATCACATGATTGCAGCTGGAAATCTGATTGGACTTTAAATATTTTTGCACCTTGAGCATTGAAAAAAAATTACCAATTTGAATGTTACTTGTAGATCAGTGTTGCTTGGAAGACAAAATGTGCCTGCATGTAGTGCACCAAAGGCATACTCACAGTGTTTCAATGTCTGAAATGACAATATGCATATAAATGTATGTCATTGACTTATTTGTGTGCTGGTATGAATTTAGCATTTGAAAAGAAGACAGGCTTGATAATGCTGTGTTTCTTTTTCATTATTCAAGGGTTTATTACTGTAAATTAAATAAGTGATTTTGTAAGAAGTTTATGTCTTGAATTATGTACTGTTTGTTTACTGGGTGAAAAAGTTTGTATTTTTTGTCATATATTCTTTGGTATGTGGGGGCATGGTAAAAAGTATAGTTTACTAGTTGCACAGCTAGACTTAAGACTGCATGAATGATATTTGTAGGTCAAAGTATATAGTTGTTGAAAGATACAATTTTGTTTTACCGGAAATTTGGCCACTTCCAACTGTTTGTTGCAAAGTTTGAAAAATGATAATGTTGTTGGAGTCTACATTTTCAAAGTAAATTTATGTATGCTAAATCATATAAATATTTCCTGAATTTTTCCCTTTAGGAAGATCAAGAGATGGTATCTCCATTGTTAACAGTTATTTTGTTGACCTTTCACATTTTGACCTTTCATTATTGTTTATTCCATGTGACCTCTAACAGGTGTTATACCGCCACTACCATCACAGTCCAAGATGACCACACACGACTCATCCGAGCCTAAAATAACCTCGTTACTCGGGGTGTCTCATCCCTCCGAGGAACATGCGCGTATGTGGTTACCATTACTAACCTGTCTCTCATGCACGTTTGCCACCTTTTTAACCTTCTGGTAAGGTCAAGGTCAGGTCAGTTTTCTATAAAAGCTGACACATGAATATTAAGCAGATTTTTTTTTTTTTTATTATCAATTTCTTATCCTATGCAAATTAAATCGGATCGAAATTAATTATAAGAAGTAATATCTAGGGAATTATAATGATAAAGTTTTTCAATCACTGAAGATGAAGCAAAGGAACTTAAGATCCTAGCTTGTATATCTTTCTTTTTATAATGAATCTTTAATTCACTGTTATAACTATATCTTATTAAAATGTAAATATCAGGATAAGATAAGATTAACTGGGGACCTTGACACTACCAGAACATAAAGGTGGCTCCCCTGATTACTTCCCTTTGTCACGACCTAGCTGAAGTAGCGACACCCCCCACACACAGCCCTAACTTTCAGCTGGATATATCGCTTCATGCTGTTTATCTTTTTTTGTTCATTTAGGTACTGATGATTTTAACATTTATTTTATTTTGATTTAGCAAATACATGTGTTTAGCTCATGTACATGGTGAGCTTTTCTGGTTAAAGTTGTCTGCATGTTGAGCTTTGAATGAATAAGAATGAAATTTTCATATTCCGAACTTCTGCAGGAAGAGAAAATTAAACCAAACCTAGCATTCTCTTGTCAAACAGGATTCAAACTTGTTCAGGTGAATTTACAGTGAAAAATAGTACCGAGAAAAAAGCAGTTTCACATGAAATAAATAAAATAAGAATATGCTTTTGAAACAAGGATATGCTTTTGAAACAAGAATATGCTTTTTAGAATTGAAGCATTCTGCTACAGTGATGATCCGTGTCTGACCAAATCATGGTGACTTAGGCTAGGATCAATGTTTATCCTCTTTTAAACAATGCAGAAGAAATCGGAATATTATTTTGAAGAATAATCTATAATGATGAAAGTTTGTTTAAATTAATTCCCTTTGAGTGTGTTGCCTTAAAAGTATTGTAATTCTTCATAAGACCGAAGTGACCCATCCATGTGAGCATTGTTGTCTTGAGGTCCTTTTTGTCTTCTTTTTAATTTCTTCTTTTTTCTGTTATTTTTGTTGTTGTTGGGGGGGGGGGGGGGGTATCACTAGTATTTATCCTTTTACTGTTGTTTGATCAGAAATCTAGATTTCAATTTTGTGTCTTTTGGATGATGTTCTGGATGGATATAAAAGATCAATTGCATATTAACATTAAAATAAATACATGTAATCAAATACTGTACATAGCAATTCATACTTGGTAGGGAAGTGCTTTTGAGAAAGAATGTTTTGGGCTAAATTGAGCCTATTGTTATTTTGAAGAGAACAAGGTCATACAACAACAGTCTTTAAAATACCTTAATAAGTTTACTGTTTGCTCACAAGGAAATGTAAAGCCTCAAAGTAGGGTTGAAAATGGCTTGGAATGCCAAAGCAGCACTTGTTTTCTGAATTTATTTATTGCTATATATTTTTCTGATTATTAGTTTGGGGGGTGTTAATTATAAAATGAATTAAAAATACATGTAGCATTAATACCTTTTTATTTGTTTTCTGTGTTTCATTGGATAAACCTTTTTTTTTTTGTTTTTGCCTTTGATTTCATTGGATAAAACCTTTACTTTTTTTCTTATATTTCATTGGATAAAAATCTATTGTAATCAAAGGAACCAGCATAAGCATCCTTAGTTTTTAACAACAATCAACATAGTATTTAAATATTATGTACAATGTAGATGAACGTACTCTAGAAAATTAAAGACTTATGATTCTCGTAGATCAGCCTAGAATTTACGTGCCACATGTAATCTATTACCAGCTGTTTGTTCTTCATTTCTTTACCATCCTAGACTCCCCTACCCTGTTAACTGGAATTAATTTATGTAGACATTATTTTTCAGTAGCTGTGATATTCAGAGAGACATCATGACTGCATGTCTCACTTCTGCATGCCCTGTTTCAGATGTGTTATGTATTAAATAACTTGCATGTTATGAATTTGTAGCAACTTTTATTAATGAATTATATTTGTATTTTAGCCTTGCATGTTTTTTTTTCTGCATGAAACATTGTAACCCCAAATGATTGCTTAGTTTCAATCTTTTGTAGCTTTTATTATATTTCTCTTCAGCATCTTGTCTTGTTTTATTTCGATAAATTTATATAGACTAGAAGGAAAAATGTATAATTTTTTTTTACACCAAAAGTTGCAGACTTAGTATTAGACTTGTGAAAAGCAAATTTAAATGATTTGCAAAGTGCATTTCAATCTTGTATTTTGTCATTTGATTAACTGATGTAAACTTGTACACAAACTGAACAATATTTCAAGGATAGTTCAAAGCTAATTTGTGCACATATTTGTTTTGATAAATGTTTTCAAGTATGAGAGTTTCTTTGACCTTGACCTTAACCTTGGGAATCATTTTTCAGGTTCAGGGAGCAAAGGCCTACAGACCATATCTCTGGGTCAAGGACAAGGGCCCATTGCAGAAAAAATGATCATGGAGGTAAGACTGTCATATGTAGGAGGAGAAGTTGAAAGAATGTCAATCAGAAATTTGTGAAAGAGGGTGTTGTTTCCATTCCACATAATGCACTTGGACTTGGAAAACCTTCTACAAAACCAGATGGTTTTTTAGAAGGGGTTGGAAGGGTATTTAATTTTGAGCATTTCAAAGGAAAAGAGGCTCTTTGTAGATGCTTTAATGTTTTCTCTGTAATTTCAGGCAGTGGCCAATGGGACCTGGGTGGTACTACAGAACTGCCACCTAGCAGCATCATGGCTTGGAGAGCTGGAACGTATTTGTGAAACTGTATGTATTTTTCACTGAAAAGAAAATTGAATTCAAGCAAAAAATGTATTTTTAGATTTAAGAATTTGTCTGGGTTGTGCAGTCTATAATTTTTAACTGCTTTTTTTCCCTAGGTAATCACAGACACCAATGTTACCATGCCAACTTTCCGCCTCTGGCTGACAAGTTATCCCTCCCCCGCCTTTCCTGTCTCAGTCCTCCAGAATGGGGTCAAGATGACCAACGAGCCCCCCAAAGGACTGAGGGCCAATCTCTTACGGTCCTATCTTAATGATCCCATCTCTGACCCAGCGTTCTTTTCTCAGTGCAATAAACCAGCAGTATGTATAGAAATATCATTGTCTGTCCTCAAAATGTTGAATACAAACATTTTTAAAATAAATTTGTATGCAGTTTTCTAAAATTAGTGATAACAAATGCATCAGTTTTAACTTCCACGCAACAGCTACTTAATATGAATTCAGATACTATACTATATAGTCTTTCATAAAACTGAATTGATCCATAAAAATATCTGCAAATGTAGGGATTACATTTAAGTTCTAATTAAAATCGACATGATTATCTTCAGCCACCCGTAAATCTGACAGAAGATAGTTTAGAGATAATCTACAAGAGGATAGCTAGGTCACATGTCTGTATTTTTTCTGCCTTTTTGACAGGTTTTTGAGAAGCTGCTCTTTGGACTCTGCTTCTTTCATGCTTTGGTGCAGGAACGGAGGAAATTTGGACCTCTGGGTTGGAACATTCCTTATGAATTCAATGAATCTGATCTCAGAATTTCTGTCAGACAGCTTCAGGTAATCTTTGACATCCTTTTATACAGAATAGTTTGTGAAAGTGTGTAAGAAATTTAAAAGCTTTATATATCA